ATATATATATAAAAATTTTTTTTTTGGCTGCTTTGGGTCTTCTTTGCTGCACACGGGCTTTTCTCTAGTTGTGGCGAGTGGGGGATACTCTTCCGCTGTGGTGCGCAGGCTTCTCACTGCGGTGGCTTCTCTTGTTGTGGAGCACCATGAGCTCTAGGCACGCGGGCTCAGTAGTTGTGGCACACGGGCTTCAGTAGTTGTGGCTCATGGGCTTAGTTGCTCCGTGGCACGTGGGATCTTCCCAGACCAGGGCTCGAACACGTGTCCCCTGCATTGGTAGGTGGATTCTTAACCACTGTGCCACCAGGGAAGCCCAGAATTATATTTTTTGTTGTGCGTTTTTTTTTTTCTTTTTCCAGAATTATATTTTTTAAACAGCTTTATAGAGGTACAATTCACCCCTTTAAAGTGTAAAATTCAATGCGTTGTGGGGTATTTTTGGTATATTCACAGAGTTGTACAAGCATCATTACTACCTAATTAGAAAACATTTTCATTAACCCAAAGCAATAAATCCATTCACAGTTACTTCCTATTCCTCCCTCTCTCCAGCCCTTAGCAACCACTAATCTATTTTTTTGTCTCTTAAAGCATTAATTTTGATGACCAAGAGGAAAAAAAAAGAAAAATTGAATAAAATAAACTCAATGTTATTGAATAACATAATATAAAGGTCTGTTAAATTATGGTATATCCATTCAATAAAATATTATCTTATTGGCTGTTAGAAATTACTACAAGAAAAACTATATCAAAAGGCAATTCTGTTACAATGTTAAAAGTTTTTTTAAAGATAACAAATGGTGAACATACTCTGATCTCAACTAGAGTATATTCTGGTTTGTGTGTGAACAGACTGGAAGAAATGTATAGAAATTTTAAGTGGCCATGTTAGGGTAATGAGATTGTGGACACTTTTTTCTTTAGCCTTTAAATATTTTTTAACATTTTATATTTTTTAAAAAATGGAATTTTTAGAAAATCTATTTAAAATTATTGAAATAGAGAATATATTGTAGGGCACAGCCAGACAGCAGTCCAGCCCCTATGATTTGGATCCAGTTCTTACTTAACAAATCTCTCTAGTGCAGGCTCCTTCTAGCAACCAAGAGCCTTAAGCTACAAAGGTCCCACCTCACCCAGGCTGCATGACTTTTCACACTGTAGACTTTCAGGCCTTCACCCTTTGGCCCTCTTACCTCTCAGCCGACACTCCCCAAACCCCCCAGAGCTCACTCCTTAACTAAGCCTATCATTGCATACCAGTGACTCTTGGCCAATTTCCTTCTATTAATATATTCACTGTAGGTCCTTCTGATCCCAGCCATACTTTCTCCTTATGAGCTGAATAGTAAGAAAATTGGTGGAAACAAGATATTCATCCCTCAGTATTGATAAGGGATTGGTTCCAGGACTCCCAAATGCGATGAATGTGGAAAAGCCTTCATTCAAAGCTCACATCTCATTGGATATCATAGAGTACACACTGGAGTGAAACCCTACAAATGCTCAAAATCTGAGGATGCTCAAGTCCCTTATATAAAATGGTGTAGTATTTGCATACAACCCAGCACATCCTCCTGTACACTTTAAAACCATCTCTATGGGGCTTCCCTGGTGGCGCAACGGTTGAGTGTCTGCCTGCCAATGCAGGGAACACGGGTTCGAGCCCTGGTCTGGGAGGATCCCACATGCCGCGGAGCAACTAGGCCCGTGAGCCACAACTACTGAGCCTGCGCGTCTGGAGCCTGTGCTCCGCAACAAGAGACGCCACGATAGTGAGAGGCCCGCGCACCGCGATGAAGAGTGGTCCCCACTTGCCACAACTAGAGAAAGCCCTCGCACAGAAACGAAGACCCAACACAGCAAAAATAAATTAATTAATGAATAAACTCCTACCCCCCACATCTTCAAAAAAAAAAACAAACCATCTCTATGTTACTTATAATACCCAACAATGTAAATGATTTGTAATAGCTGTAAATACAATATAAATGTTATATAAACAGTTGCCAGCACTCAGCAAATTCAAGTTTCGCTTGTTGGAACTTTCTAGATTTTTTTTTTATGAATATTTTCTATGTGAGGTGGGATGAATGTGAGTCAATGCGAAACCCGCAGATTTAAAGGGCCAGCTGCAACTGAAACCATGCCCCTCAGACTGGGATTCGAACCCATGCAGCTGGGACTCAAACCCGGCCAGAACCCACAGTCTTCCAACTGAGATCACACACCTGGTTTCAGGACTTAATGAAGCTCCGTTCTTGATGTCTCATCGCAGAAAGAATTCAGTGAGAGACAAACGGATAGATAAGAAGTGGATTTATTTAGAGAGAAACACACTCCATAGACTGTGGGCCATCTCAGAAGGTGAGAAAGGCACCAGGGTATGGGGTTGTCAGTTTTTGTAGGGGTGGGTAATTTCCTAGGCTAATGAGGGGGAGGAGTATTCCAGCTATTTTGGGAAGGGGCGGGGATTTCCAGGCATTGGGCCACCGCCCACTTTTTGATCCTTACGGTGGGTCTCGGAACTATCATGGCGCCTGTGGGTGGTGTCATTTAGCTTGCTGATGTGTTACAGTGAGTGTATCGTGAGGCTCAGGTCTAGTGGAAGTTGACTTGTCCGCCATCTTGGACCCATTTGGTTCTAATCAGTCTATGTCACGTCCTCAGGCTATGTCATGCTTTCAAAGGTTGTACCCTGACCCCTTCCCTCCGGTTTCATAACAACCAGCTCTCCTCCTCTTACTAAGTCCAAGCTCCCTGTGCTCGCCACACGATGGGCCAACAAATCGGGAGGCAAGGTGTTGAGGCAAGGAACACGACTTTATTCGGAAAGCCGGTAGACCGAGAAGATGGCGGACTAGGGTCCCCCCCAAAAACATCTTATTGGGGTCTGGATGCCAGTTTCTTTTGTAGAATCAGAGAGGGAAGTAAAGTAAAAAGGTAGAATAGAGAGAGAGAGGCGGGGAGGAAGTAAAGTAAAAAGGACTATCAGTCTCGCAAAACATCGCTTGGAATGGCCAGCCTCGGGGAGGGGATGTGTTGATTTCTTCTCTCTCGCAGCCATTCACAGGTGGGTAGGGTTCCCAGAGGCGGGCCATTATGTATGATTATAATAACAAAAGCAATGAGAAAGGCTAAAGTCAAAGAAACAGATCCCACACGGAGTCAAAATTGGCTCTCTTCCCTGTTACACTCCCACCCTGCATTCCCACTTCCTAGAGAGACACGGCTCATTTAGACTATCATAGCCTTCCTGTTACGTCGATCACCTCCCTCTCCGTTGTCAGTCTGGGGCAGAGAATCGACACTGACACCCCACCACTCCTTACACACACAACCCCAGGCACACTCACTCTCATCCATGTCATTTCTGTTCTCCTCCTCTCTCTTCCACACATCCTCCGCTGCAGTAGCCCTGGCTGTGCCCCAGGACTGCTACCCCTTCGGTTTGTCCACTAGTAACATTCTGAAGGCACAGAGTCCAGCCCCGTCTCAAGAACAAAGTACGCCTCCAGCACCTGCCTCACCCAGACTTACTACTAGATCCATAACTGAAAAGAGTGGGTTCCAGATCCCCAGTGTGTGGTGAGCCCAGGTGGAACGGGAGCCTTCCAATGAGAGCACTCAGCTGTGTTCAGGGAGCACCTACCACGTGTCAGGAACTGTGTTAGCTTCAAAGATTCAGGATGGTTGACACTACTCACCTTGAGAAGCTCACAACAGAAGTGTTGCCCAACACAGGTTCGCTTGTCGGCTCCACAGTGAGGCCCAAGAAGCCCAAACGTCAGCGTTTGGGGCAGAGAAAAGTTATTGCCAGGGCTGTGCAAGAAGAAAGAGCAGCACTTGCTCAAAAGACCTGAACTCCCCGATGGTTTGGGGGAAGAGTTTTCAAAGGCAAAATATGAGGTGAGGGCTGTGAGGTGTGCGACCTTCCTCTGATTGGTTGGTGGTAAGGTAACAGGGCGGTGCTCCAGGAATTCTGTGCACAGCCTGAAGTTACCATCCTCCACCTGGGAGGAGGCCTTAGCTCCGGTAGAAGAACTCAAGGGTATGTTGTCACTATATCCCTTGAGGAGGAACCGGGACTTGGCTTTATCGCAGAACTATTGTTTCCTGACTGCTCCTCCACGGTGTCTACATTGCCTTCCTTCCGTAATTAGAAACTGTTTAAATCTGCCCTTTGAAACTCAGGGAAAGTCTCGGAGGCTAAAGGCTTTTTCCTACCAACAAGAAACAGGGGACCCAGAAAGGCTTTTGTACCCAGGAGGGCTCCTCAGGGTCCTGCTCAGTTTCAGAAGGAAGGTGTGTAAACAGAACGTCACTATATAGCAGGAAAAGGTGTGGGCAGGGGAGGAAGGAACGCCGTGCGGACGCAGTGGAGACAGTCTCTGCAGCAGGCGTCACCTCGGAGGTGGCCCGTGAAGAATCAAGAGTTAACTGGGCCAAGAAGCATACACAACACGTCTTACAGGTCTGCAGAAAACAAGGAACTTACAGAAATGGTACTTTGGCAGCAGAAGTAGGACACATCATTCCATGTCCACGGTAGTGCTTACGGTGTGCAAAGCACTGCGTGATCCGCAGAGATCAAATAAACCGTGGCCTCTCCTCCCAGGCACAAAACGTATTACCTAAATATAATGCAAACTGCTCGGAATACCAAGCGCATTGAGAAGAAGGGAGAAGAAATGTAAATTTCACTCTGGTCCGAAGTACAAACATCACTGGGGGTGAGTTTGGGGAGGACTCTCTTTAGGGTGCTGTAGGGGATGGGTGGAGTAAATAAGAGGCAGAAAAATCAAGGTGGGGCAGTAGTAGGAGTTCAGCCTTCAGCAGAAAGGGGGAGGAGGAATCTCGCGCAGGATTGGGGCAGAAAAGTGGGTGGAACCAGTGGGCGCCACCCCGTCTCCTCCTCCCAAACCCCCCCTACAACCTACCTACCTTGCAGTCTGGTGAGACAGGTGAGGGAGGAACTCCTAACGCTGGTAAGAGGGGCAGGAGGGTCGTGGCTTTGGGGCTGGCATGTAAGGAGGCGGTCTGGCCCCTTTGTAGAATCGGCAACTCCTTCCTCTGCAGAGCTCAGGGAACTCCTGACAGGCTGGCTGGGGGTAGTGGCTGCCTAGGTGCTGCTGTTGTGTTGCAGGGGGATGAAAAGGCTTCGCCCCACCAGCCTCCCAGCCCCTGTGCTAATAACTCCAGGCAGGAAACTTGAAATCCGAGTTTACCGAGTGAGGGCCGGTAGAGAGCAGGGGACCGTGACAGCCATGGGGCACGGAGAGGTCAAGAATCATCTGGGCCTCTGTCCATTGCCCTAGACCTCTATCGCCTTAGACCTCTGTCTGTAAGATTCTCAGGTAGTTGTGTCCTGTGGCTTTGTTGTGTCTATGTGCACTTTCTCCCTCCAACTGGAGCGTGGGGCTGACGGGAGCAAATGGGAAGACGGGGTCAAACAGGGTAAGTGGCGCCCTACAAGGTCAGACTGAGGGACTCAGACTGGGCAGGTGGGGGGTGGACGTTCGTTGCAAGCAATAATAAAGGGTGGGGCCCGCCTATCACCTGGATTCCAGAGATGCCGTGAGTCCTGAGGCCCCAGGCAGGGCCTGCCTAGGACTGGATCCTGGAATGGGTAGAAATACAGAGACGGAAGGGAGACCATAGGGAAGAAGTTAAAAGTAAGGAACGTAGGGCTCTGACATAGTAAACTCACATGAGGTCTGGGAGTCAGAACTTCCGGGCTGGTTCCTGGCTATTCCACACATACTGATACCCTGGGACAACAGTGTGATCCTAGAGAGAATCCCAGAGCTGAAGGGGACCCTGCAGATCACTTCTTTGGGCCCTTTATTTGATTTGAGATAGAAGAAACAAACCCAAACAAAGGTGTCTGATATGCTTACTTTGAAATCTAACCTAGCGGTGATGCCAATTGCTAGTTTAGACACAACAGCTGTGTGTCTTTTTGCAGGAGCCTGGGGAGGGGCCATGGTGCCAAGCCAATTCTGGGGGACTCTGGAGAAGCCGCTTCTCTTCCTGTGTTGCACCTCCTTCCTCCTGGGGCTGGCTTTGCTGGGGATACGGCCGGACATCGCCCCTGTTGCTTATTTCTTTCTCACCTTGGGTGGCTTCTTTTTGTTGGCCTGCCTCCTGGCCTGTGTTTTGGAATGGGGGTCTCGATCAGTGCAGACCGAGAGCCCAGGGGCCTCAAGCAATGCACGGTGAGTTAAGGGGTGGGCAGGATTGGAGGATTACATGTGGACCCATTCTCCCTGTGTCCCTCTAGACTTTAGGCGGACAGCCTCTGCTTTCCCCCTGTCACTGGTATCAGGGTCAGGGGCTAGTGGAGGGGTCTTTTGCTGGTAGAAGATAGAAAAGGGAAAACAGGCTTCTTTCAGGAAGCCACTAATGACCTTATTTCTCCCCCCCGCCCCTTCAGGGACAATGAAGCCTTTGAGGTGCCAACCTACGAAGAGGCCACAGTGTTGGAATCACAGTGCCACCCCCCAGGGGCGGATCAACCACCCTCCTACACCAGTGTTGTAATCCCCCCAGAACTTGAGGTGAGACAGCCTAGCCATCCAGAGGAGCCCAGGAGAGCCAGACTGGACAGGCGAGTGGGCTCAGAGGGGTCTGTGATCTCAGGAAGCCCTGGAAGACCTCCAGTCAGCCTGCGGCTTCGGGGACCACGAGTTGCGTCCACTGTTCCTGATCTGCAGAGCTTGTGGGCGCCCCCCAAATTGGAACCTCTTACTCCACCCCCTGCCTACGATGTCAGCTTTGGTCACCTCGATGATGATGTTTTCTATGGAAACAACTGGACACCCCACTAAAGGACTTTCCCAGGATATGTCGTCTTTCTGCACCAGACCCAGTCATTCATTCGAACAGTGCTTCCCAGTGCCTGTTATGTGTCAGGAACTGCGTCTCCACCTGGATGTCACAAATGATGACTTTAACCCAGAGGGGAGTGAGGCTATGGTGAGCCCTTCCCAGTTTTACAGTGGCACATCCCAGGGATGTAGGCGGCACAATTTGAGTCTTCAGGCAATATTCAGTGACCTACCCCATACCTGGTATTTCCAGAGTTAGACTGAGGGTGAGATGAGGAGATTCCAGAGAATCTAGTGAAGGAAGAAAAGAAACAATATCTGAGTGACAGCTCTGTTGCTTCTGTTCCAGGTGCTTTGCCTCTATTAGATCACAAAAATGAGGTATTATTGTCCTCATTTGAAAAACGAGGATCCTAAGGGTCAGAAAAAATTGATAATTTGCACAGGGGCACACTGCTAGTAAATAACACACAAATGTCTTAAATTCTGCTCTTCTGATCCCATAGCCCTTGTGTTTTCAATACAAGGCAACAGAAGCCAGTTCATGCACATATCTCTCAATTTCTGTCTTGGTCAATGGCTGGTGAGGGGTAGAAGACTTCGTGTAGACAGAATGGGGGACCAGCTGTGTCTGCAGACAGGGAGTGCTGAGTGGGACCAGGAGTGTGCCCAGCCTCCTAGAGGAGCAGAGCTGATCAAAACTGTGATGGCCCCTGCTCCAGATGGGAAATTCCTGCCCCGGGGGGCTAGACAGCAGTCCCCAGTGCAGGATCCCATCCTATCTAGAAGCAGTGGAGTAAACTGCCCCAGGGGTAGGGACATCTGATTCTGAGGATGGGTGGATATGATGGTCAGAAAAGAGAAAACCCGAGGTCCTTTGCGAGGGGTGGTGGAGCATCTAAGGATCCCTCTTGCATCATCTATTATGAAGCACTGGAAACACTTGCACTGTCTGCAATAGCTTCAGCCTCACCCCTGCGCCTGACCCCGCTGGGTTTTACCCGAGGACCCCCTGCCCTGTTTCCTCAGATCCAAACAGAACACCAGCTTCTCTAATCATGTGCTGTGCCTGTGATGCAGGTTTGAGCCAACCATCGCTGACCCACGCTCATTCTTTACGCGGGTATCTGTCTAGCGCCTTCTAGTTCTGTCCTTGTCCTCCTTACCCTGGTCCCAACAGTTAACTTTAATAAAGTGAAAAGCCCGGCCACACCCATCTCCATACAGTTCTTGCAACAGGCGGGTGAGGAGAGGTGGGCGGTTCCGGGGAGGGAGCTGTGATTTCCGCGGGAACCGACGACCAATCGGATGGCCAAGTAGGGCGGGGCGGCTCCTCGCTTCCCCTTCCGCCGAGCGCGCTCGCTCATCCCATTGGACAGCGAGTCCGCCGCGTGGGTTCTGCGCCTGCGCGCGCTCCGGCGACGGCGCGGCCGGCCTCGCGTGGGGGCGGAGCTGGGATAGCAGCGCGCAGGCGCTTTGCGCGCCGGCGGACGTGGGAGGGATGCGGGGGACCAGAGGGCTCGCGGTTTGTTTGGGTTGTGGGCGGTGCGCGCACAGCCCGGGAAAAGCGGGAAATGGCGGCGCCGAGCGCAGGCCCCCGGTCCGCCCTCCCGCAAAAGGGGCTGGTGACCGCTGATAGGGGGCGCAGGTGAGTGGGGAGGGTCCCAGGGGTCCGTAGTGGGACCCAGGGAGGGAGACGCGGGTTTCAGGCGTATGGCCCTGGCGCCCCTCCCCTCGGAGCCCCTGGAAGCCGCGGTGTCCAAGCTTCCAGCCAAGGGTGGGAGGCCGGCTGAGCCCCCGAGGGGAGCGCGGGCGGGCGAATCTCTTCTGGGCCTCGTCCCTCTCGAGCAAAGATTCCCCAGCCTCCATTCTTCCAATCCCGGAGGCTCTGAACCAGGCGAGCTCTTTCCAGTCCTGTCAAATCTCGGTTTCTCTTAAAAGATTCTTGATTCTTTCTTTTCCTCGGTTCCCTTTTGAGGAACTAAACTCTGTACTCATAAACACCGATGAGACCTGCAGATCTCGGAATTCTGCCTGATGTGCATTTGTTTCGGATTGAATATATCATGATCCGTATTGCGTTGGGTGTAATGACCAGATTTTCACAGCAGTCAACACAGATTTTGGGGTTTGGGTGTACTCTGAGACAAGGAAGTTCCCGAGGCTCCGAGTGTCTCAGCCTCTGCCCCAGTTAAATCGTATCATGGCAGACATCGCCCAGGATAACATATTTTAATGCCTCCCGGTCCAGACCCAGGTGATGAATTGAGGACTTTGGAACCAGAACTTGCAGAAGGACACAGAATCAAGACTTAAGAATCGTCTTTGTGTCCTTTCCTCCACCCGCTCCCCCCTTTCCCGATGTGTTCTAAAGTTCTAGGTGATTGTGGTTACTTTTGGAAAGTCCACCTTTGAGACTCCCCGTAGTATGGAATCCTGCAAGGAGCGGGTGTGTGTAGAATGGATACTGCTTCAGATTAAACCTAATAAGTTATTGATTGAAAATTCAAGTCTACAACTTAGAGTTAAGAACGGGGAGTCGATTAGTGAATTGTGTGGATGATACTGAGTAGGGAGAGGCTTTTTGAGGGGGCTTCCTAACGGAATGTCAACATTTAAGGGCAGGCCAAAGGTCCTGTGAAGGAAACGGGGACCTAGTAAGCAGAGAGGGAAACTGGAGAGAATGGTGTCATGGAAACCAAGGGAGGAGAAAGTTTTAAGGAGAAAATGCTACTGGTAAATTAAGGGAAAAAAGTCGAGTAAACCCACCCCACCATTGGTGTGTATCCTGAGGAAATACCCAGAATCCAGCTACGATGTTATTTTGCGATTGAACTATTAACACTTTTTTTTTTTTTTTTTTGCGGTACGCGGGCCTCTCACTGTCGTGGCCTCTCCCGCTGCAGAGCACAGGCTCCGGACGCGCAGGCTCAGCGGCCATGGCTCACGGGTCCAGCCGCTCCGCGGCATGTGGGATCTTCCCAGACCGGGGCACGAACCTGTGTCCCCCGCCTCGGCAGGTGGACTCTCAACCACTGCGCCACCCGGGAAGCCCAACACTTATTTTTACCAGAGTTCATACACGTTGTCATTGTTAACTGCTTTGGTATGTTCCAAGGTGATTCTTTTTGGTTTTGTTTTAATTAATTAATTTATTTATTTTTGGCTGCGTTGGGTCTTTGTTGCTATGCAGGCTTTCTCTAGTTGCGGCGAGCGGGGTCTACTCATCGTTGCGGTGCACGGGCTTCTCGCCATGGCTTCTCTTGGCGGAGCACGGGCTCTAGGCGTGCGGGCTTCAGTGGTTGTGGCACATGGGCTCAGTAGTCGTGTCTCGCAGGCTCTAGAGCACGGGCTCAGTAGTTGTGGTGCAGGGACTTAGTTGCTCCGCGGCATGTGGGATCTTCCCAGACCGGGGCTCGAACCCGTGTCCCCTGCATTGGCAGGCGGATTCTTAACTACTGCGCCACCAGGGAAACCCCCGGAATGCATTTTAAAATAGGTTTTTTAAGTTATAATCTGAAGCTGGTACCATATTCCTTTCTCACTGCCATCAGGTCTTTACTGTTGTCATGTACTTGGAAACTGTGACTAAGCAGGCTGGCACACCCTGGGTTTATATAAATTAGGCACATAGATGTTACACACTGGAAATGGGATTCTTTTATTTTCTTTATAACATCTTTATTGGAGTATAATTGCTTTTCAATGGTGTGTTAGTTTCTGCTTTATAACAAAGTGAATCAGCTATACGTATACATATATCCCCATATCTCCTCCCTCTTGTGTCTCCCTCTCACCTGGACATGGGATTCTTTGAGTTCATCAACAGAAGCTGAACTCTTTCCAAACGCATAGCAAAACTAAGGAATCCTTGAAATGAAGACATCCCTCGTAAACTAAATTCCCAAAATAATTTCGCCTTTACATGCTTTAACTCTTTGAGTGATTTCAGGTTATGTTGATTGTTTTCATCATTGGCATTTATCTACTGTGACTTTCCGTCAGATTTTTTACTTAATTCGGTTCTTATAGGATCCTGGTCATTTCTAGTGTTATTTTGTCACAGGAACTTACCGTTTTAAAAACCATAGTTGTGGGGTTTCCCTGGTGGCGCAGTGGTTGAGAATCCGCCTGCCAGTGTAGGGGACATGGGTTCGAGCCCTGGTCTGGGAAGATCCCACATGCCGCGGAACAGCTAAGCCCGTGTACCACAACTACTGAGCCTGTGCTCTAGAGCCCGCGAGCCACAACTAATGAAGCCCGCATGCCACAACTAATGAAGCCCCTAGAGCCCGTGCTCCACAACGAGAGAAGCCACCGCAATGAGAAGCCCGCGCACTGCAGCAAAGAGTAACCCCCGCTCACCGCAACTAGAGAAAGCCCGCACGCAGCAACGAAGACCCAACACAGCCAAAAATAAATAGATAAATAAAATAAATTTATATATATATATATAAAGGATTATTTTAGACTCATATCACTGTCAGCAGCTTAGATAAGTAGTGTGAAATGTTTTCTGGAATACTCCTTAATGAAAATTGGTCGGTCAGATGGAGGAATGTTCCTTCTTGTGAGTATGTCTACTCGTGTGTGTATTATTTTTGTCACGATAGATATTTCCCCTCGTCAGACCATTCATCTCAGAAGATGGTCTCAGTTGAACATCCTCCATAAAGGATTGTATATCATTTCCTTATGATCAGTGTGTTACTGCTTAACACTTCTATGATTTTAAGCACATTCAATAAAATATGTCTCATTTTAGTTATCGTAAGTCCTGTTCTTTATATTTCTCCTACCCACACCTCTTCTGTTCCACTTCTCTGCCAGATCTTGTACTTGACAGCTTTTCTGTCTTTTATCTGTAGGATACTGGGAGTGTATGGCATGCATCCTGACCATCAGGAAGCTCTCAAAAAGAACCGAGTGGTGCTGGCCAAACAGCTGTTGCTGAGCGAACTGTTAGAACATCTCCTGGAGAAGGACATTATCACCTTGGAAATGAGGGAGCACATTCAGGTATCTGAAGGCAAAAGAGAAAAGCCAAGTGAATATATTAGCGGTAGGAAGAGGAACAGAGCATAGTAAAGTGTGAAAAAGATGTAGTGCTTTACTAAGGAAATGAAAATGCTCTTCTACCCTAGAGCATTTAACAGAAAAGACATATAATTCAAGAATAGTGGGGGAAGGGCTTCCCACGTACATATTTTTCTGTAAAAGGAGTTCTTGAGATGGATGATGCTGTTACTAGGAAGCTCATCTGGAGAAACAGAATTACAGCTGGATAAGTAAATGTGATGTCATGTTTTATTCTTGTATCGTAGGCCAAGGTGTGCAGTTTCAGCCAGAATGTGGAACTCCTCAACTTGCTGCCCAAGAGGGGCCCCCAGGCTTTTGATGCCTTCTGTGTGGCCCTGAGGGAGACCAAGCAGGGTCACCTGGAGGACCTGTTGCTCACAACCCTGGCTGGTCTTCAGCACATACCCCCACCGGTATGGAGCCCTAGACACGTGGTATGTTAGGAAGGGTTGGTTTGGTAGGAAGGGCATTTTTGAGACTGGTGAAGTGGGGAACGGGACTAGATTTCTGTATTATTTGGGCTGGACCAGCTCCCTAAGGCCTGGTACGGGGGGTCCTGCTTTCTTACAGTTGCGCTGCGACTACCACTTGCGTCTCCCTTTCCCGGTGTGTGAGTCCTGCCCCCCCCGCAAGCAGCGCCGCCTGTCCCCAGGTGAGAACTGATGGCGTAAAATGGGTCCCGCAGATCGACTTCCGCTTCCTTGACTGGCATCTGACTTTGCCCCAGTGTGAAACCTATTTTCGTTCATATTGGAACGGTTTCCTCAGTGAATTTGTTAGGGACCAGCAGGACAGTTCAGATGGGCTCTGGGTTGGGCCTGTTTTTCTTCTTCCGTCATAGATGGTTTTTTAATGGTGATCGGCCCTTGGAGCAACTTGTGCAGGTAGGAAGTTCCTGCACATAATTGGCCTATCTCCTCTGTAAAGCTTAGTTATTTTACGATGAGGAAAGACTACATCATGGGCCTCTACCCTACTGATTGAGTATTCTAGTGATTAGAACAAGGGTTTTACCATATACCCCATTCAGTCATTTACTGAGTTGAGCACCTACTACTATACGCAGGCTAAGTGCAGAGGATCCAGTGGTGAACGAAAGCAAACAGGGTCTCTGCCCCCATAGAGCTTACAGACAAGGGACGTGAGCCAGACCAGTAATTACGAAAAGGGCGCCTGAAGTTACAGTGAAGCACTAGGATTGCTGTGTAGGTTGTGTGCTAGCTTTTCTGCTCTCTATGCCGCAGATACAGTGGAACACTCCCTAGACCATGGAGATGGGCCTCCCAGCCTTCAGGTGAAGTCTTGCACTCCTGAGTTTTATCAAGCGCACTACCAGCTGGTAAGTCTTGCAAAATGGCAAGAGGAAAAGCGTTGGGAAATGAGATACCCTTCCTGGGCATCTGAACTTAGTTTGTGTATATACATTTCTTTCCTGCCTTTATTAGTCAGAAAATAATTGCTGATTGTGTTTTGTGGGTATTTCTATACTTGACCTGGTGGGATTAAGAAGAAGAACGTGATGTCTGTGTTTTCTTGAAATGCCTCGTCTAGTGGGGGAGGCATAGTTTCTGTCCTCAAGAAGCTCACGGTCTAATCGGCCTCCCCTCCCCAGGCCTATAGGTTGCAGTCTCGGCCTCGTGGCCTGGCACTGGTGCTGAGCAACGTGCACTTCACTGGCGAGAAAGACTTGGAATTCCGCTCTGGAGGGGATGTGGACCACAGCACTCTAGTCACCCTCTTCAAGCTCTTGGGCTACAAAGTTCATGTTCTTCTTGACCAGACTGCACAGGTACCCGAGGCAGGACATGCTGACGTGTGCATTAGAGAACGGGACAACACTTGGGGGCCAGAAATGTCCATGCTCCTCTGCCTGCTGGGTTGTGCCTTACTAGAGTTATGTTCTCTACCTACCTTTTACTTGCTGTGTTCTGCCGCCCATCTTGCAATCTAGTTTTTTTTTAAAAAAAAAAAAAAAAAAAAAGGGCTTCCCTGGTGGCGCAATGGTTGAGAATCCGCCTGCCAGTGCAGGGGACATCCCACATGCAGTGGAGCAACTGAGCCCGTGCGCCACAGCTACTGAGCCTGTGCTCTAGAGCCCACGAGCCACAACTACTGAGCCCGCCTGCCACAACTACTGAAGCCTCTGTGCCTAGAGCCCATGCTCCGCAACAAGAGGAGCCACTGCAATGAGAAGCCCGCATACCGCAACGAAGAGTAGCCCCCGCTCGCCGCAACTAGAGAAACCCCATGCGCATCAACGAAGACCCAACACAGCCAAAAAATAAATAATAAAAAGAAAACAAAAGAAAAGAGAGAAAGGATTCAGGCCAGCCAGCTGCCTGGGTGTTGACTTCTCAGGGTGGCTGTGCGCTCCCTGAGTAAGAATAGTCCAGGGTCGGGTTCTCACTTTTACATGCTCAGCAACTTGATTCCCAGTCCCTCAGGAGGTGAGATACTGATATGCACCCAACCAACTAAAAAAAGATATTTATAAGTCAGGGTTACACAGGACAGTGACTTCTTGGTTGACGTTGCTGCCTAGGAGTCCAGTTCTCAAGATTACGTTGGCAGATAAAATTCTTACAAATGAAAGTTTGCTAGAATTGTCCTTGTAAATACTGTTTTGTGGTCATTTCATGAATTAACCTATTCTTTTTTTTTTCTTTGGGCTGTGTTGGGTCTTTGTTGCTGCGCGCGGGCTTTCTCTAGTTGCAGCGAGCGGGAGCTACTCTTCGTTGCGGTGAGTGGGCTTCTCATTGCGGTGGCTTCTCTTGCTGCAGAGTACGGGCTCTAGGTGCGCGGGATTCGGTAGTTGTGGCTCACAGGCTTAGTTGCTCCGCGGCACGTGGGGTCTTCCCAGACCAGGGCTCAAACCCATGTCCCCTGCATTGGCAGGCGGATTCTTAACCACTACGCCACCAGGGAAGTCCCTAACATAACCTATTCTTATCAGTTTTGTGGCCACAAGACAGATCTTAGCGTAGATTACTTCTGAGCTAGGTTCCTGCAGGTCCTAAGCATTCTTGTTAGGATTTAGTCCCCTTCAGCCTCAGTTACCGGGCTGTACCACTGACTTTGTTACCTTTAGGTAGTTCTGTTTTGAAATTGAAAATAGTCCATTGGTAAATTAATACTAATTCTTTATTTTGATTCAGAATAATAGTGCTTTCCTAAACTTGCCTTTGGGAATATCCATGGTAAAATTAAGGTTTCTAGAAGATTCTCTTTGGTCTGTTGAGGTAGGGTGGTCAGCATTGTCTGTGGTCTTCATTTCTATTTCTCAGCTGTCTTGCTTCTGTGAGAATAATTGTGTATTTGCTAAATTTGGGGTAAGGCCAGATTCATTGGTAGGGACCTGAATGTTGTTCTTTACATGCTATTACCAGCTTCCCAATAATAGCTCAGGCAAAGAAGTAAACCCACCCTTGCTTCAAAGCCATGGCTAGAACAGCTCCTTTCTACATCAAGTATTCATGTAGGTTATATGCTTTCCTGAGAGATCTGCTGGGCATGAAGGGAATAAAGGTGGGACAACAGCTGTAATTCTTACAGAGGGAATCCTATTAGAAGGTCACTTAACAAAATGAATGCGATTTACATTTCTTTACAGCTTTTGGTCTAGTCATTTTTTTTACTAGGAATTTATTATGTCACGGTTTTCCAAATTTTATGCAGTTGATAAGGGATTTTATGTGCTTGATAGTTAAAGATACATCACTAAGCACCGGGTCAACTGTGTACTACTGATTCTTATCTTAGAGACAGTAGCTTTGATGGGCCTACGGGCCCACTTCACAAATGCCATTCCCTGATGCAGATTCCAGGACCTGTTGGATTCTGATTCTCTGGTTACGTTGTTCTATAACTTGAATCGCAGTGGCGTTCAATTTTGAGCACCTTATAACAGGGGGCAACTATGTTAGCTGCCAGAGATTTTTTTTAATGTGGACCTTGAGTTCAAGGGACCTCATTTAGATGGGGGAGTCTTGACATCAGTTTAAAAAAAAAAAAAGAGGCACATCCCCTTAAAGGACAACAAAAGACTAGAGACAGTGTCTTCTACAGTAGTTAAGAGGAAGAAACCATCACCTGGGTAGATGTGGTCAGAAGGATAAGTGGAGGATGTGAGACTTAAGCTGCCCACGAAGGATGGAAGCTACTGAGGCAAGAGAGGAGGAGTGAAGGGGTCCTACACAAGGAGAACAGCATACAGATTAGAAATGTGTGTGTTAGGGACCTTGTGGGTGAACCAAATGTCTAGGGCACAGGAGTTCCAACAACAAGATTGGGGAAAAAGGGACCAGAATGCACAGGGCCTTGAATGTCTTCCCAAAGGAATTGGACTTCCTTGTGTTGACATTAGCACATCGTTAGTGGTTTTTGAATAGAAAGGTGACGCATTCACAGTGATGATTCAGGAAGATTAATATGACAGTAATGAATGAGGTAGAGACCAGTGGCAGGGAATACAGTTTGGAGTTAATATCATAATGCCAGTATGAGATGGTGGGGGCCTGGACGGGATAGTGGACCAAAAGGAAAAGAATATATGTGAAAAATAGTATATGTGAAAAATAGTAGAAAAAAATAGTACATGATTGTACTGTCAGCGCTTTGTGATTAAATAACTACCTATGGAAGAAGATGGAGAACGTAAGGAATTGAGGGCCTCAGAGGAAGTCAGGGCCAAAGATGTAAATTTGGGAACTACTTGTGTAGGAAAAAGACTTCAAGTAATGAGAGATCATGATCCTTGAGAAAAAGCAAAAGGGCTAGGACTGACCCTTCGGGATACACCCTCCATGCACGCTAGTCCTCGGCTCTGGAGATTCAGAAGCAGGAGGAGGACGTTGCAGGACCAGTTTCTGACAGCGGCCAATCGAACTTTCAGATGCAGTTAAAACCAGGTAGCGACAGTGGGTGTGATAATTTGGTGCGCTAGGCATCTGTACAGGATACTGTCTTTCTGATAGAACATCTCAAGGGGCTCAATTCTTTTTTTTTTTTTTTAAACTTTTTGGCCATGCCACAAGGCATGCAGGATCTCAGTTCCCCGACCAGGGATTGAACCTGTGCTCCCTGCAGTGGAAGCGTTGAGTCTTAACCACTGGACCTCAGGGGAAGTCCCTCAAGTCTTTTATATAATTATTTGGTGAGCAAAGAGACAGAACCAAGAAAATTTAGATCCTCTTTTTCTCCCCATATTATTCCTTTTTGCTTTAGAGATAATTCCATTGAAAAATTGGAGACAGTGTAGTCTCAGAGAACCATTTCGCCTGACAGTGCTGGAGAGCACGCTATTATCCTCACCGCTCATGTAGGTGTTCAGTGCTTCTGTTCATCATCAGAGTCTTTTCTTCTTGCATCTATCTCATGAGTTTTACTAGTTCTAGAATTACAGTTTATTGTATATTAGGAAATGAGATACACTTTAAAGTGGCAGGTTTCCTTTCACCATGTCGTGGTATTGGTTTGTAACTTGCATTTGGTCACAGACGGATTTGAGGGTATAGGGGCAAGCTGTGGGTCATCTCTGGAAAATACAGCTGCCAGTAAAATTTGGGGTATCATTTCAGGGAGTTCACAGGTTATTCTTTTCTTCTGTGTCCCCCAGCCAAAAACACTTGGAAGTGTTAAGAGCCCTGCTATTTATAGAAGTTCTGTAATTTTATCAGAAATAGATCTAGAGATCCTATTTTAAGCTACGCTACTTTCGGAAAAATTTCCCCAAATGACTAACCCCCATTGATTGAATGGTTTAATCTTATTAAATTCAGTTACAAAGCCCATGTGTTCTTAACTTCGGGCTTTGTTGTCTTCTATTTACTGACCTAGTAATCTCACTTAAGTGCAAAATGCTCCTGAGTGCCTAACCTGTATATTCCCTCCTTGGAGCAAAATGAACTTCACCTATTACATGTTAAATTCTGTTACAGTCAACTCCAGATGGGCAGTAGGCTCTTGAGATGATATATTCTTAAAATGAATGAATTTTGGATATCTTTTATTACCTTAAGATCTCCAATATTATGGTTGGGTTCTGTTTGCTCAGAAAATACACATGCTCTTTCAGCACAGCCAGTTTCTCCATTCCCAGTGAAACTGCAGACTTTCAAGTCTCTTATTAAGTCTCAATTATGTGCAAACAGAACTATTCCAAACAGATAAGCAGTTTTCAAACGTTAGCACATCAGAATTACCTGGAGGGCTTGTGAAAACAGTTTGCTGGGGGCCAAGACTCTGCAGTTCTTACAGGTTCCCCTGTGACGCTGATGCTGCTGTTTTAGGGGCCGCACTTGGAGAACCACCGCAATGTATTACACAAGTGTGTGTTTTACTGGGGGCTGTGTATGGACTGTTAGATATATGTGTACTGTAACTGTTCTGCCTAGATAGCATATTCTTCATTATATTTTGATCAAGTTCATAGTAAAATGAGCCTGTTTTCTCTCTGCTCGTCTCAGAGACAATCCAGACATCTAGAGTTGTAGAGGGAGACATAGGTTTAAAAGTTGGTATCATATTATTGTACTGTTAGGTATAATGCTTCAGTTAGAGTGTTATTCATATATGTCAGTCTAGTGCAAGATCAAAAAGATTCTTAAGTTAGACTACACGGTTTCTTTGAAAAAATAATATTGTTACCCTTCATTAGACAAGTACATTGCAATGGCAGATCTTTGCAGTATGTGCCAGACACAGTGATAAGTCCTTTCTGTGCCATATCTCATTTAATCTGTACAAACTTGGAGGAAATGTACGCTTAATTGTCTTACAAAATGGGTACTAGAGCTTTGAGGGGCTAAATAACTTGTTCTAATTTATGAACCTAGGGATCCAGCTGAGGTCTCTCTGATCCCTTGGCCCATATATGTAGTCATGACCCTGTACAGAATCCTCCATAGAGTGTGTTCTTCCATGGACAAAGCGTTTTATACAGACATCATCACTGTCTCCGGGAACTTAAATTCTCAGACAGACAACAGCAAAGGAGTACTGCTGTTCTCTACTCTCACGATCCTGTGAGCCCTCTGTCACACAGCAGTTCTTGTAGCTGTTACAGTTTACCCGGCGGTCCCCCTTGTGCCATTTATATACAAGGGCATATGCTCTGAAGAAGGATCGGGTTGATGATTGGAGAATGGATAAAGTTAGCTAGCTCCTTCATTAATAACTTGCTTTAATCCAGGAGTTCTTAACATACCTCAGTGAGCCTGTGAATTGTAAAATTATATTCAGAATTTTGTCTGAAGTCATGCAGTTTTCTGGTGCATCTCTGACTTCACTTACCATCGACCACAGGAATGTAGGGAACACACTGTACCTTCTAATAGCTTAGGGTTTCAGACACTGAAGAAAAGCTTACATTGGTGCTGACTAGTGAACAACGCTGAAAGGTGTCTTTCTTCTAGGAAATGCAAGAGAAGCTCCGGGATTTTGCCCAGCTACCCGCTCACCGTGTCATGGACTCCTGCATAGTGGCACTCCTCTCCCACGGCATGGAGGGCGGTGTCTATGGCGTGGACGGCACGCTGCTTCAGGTGCGTGCCGTCCCGTGGCCGCAGCTCTGCAAGCTGGGCCGCTTCACCTCCCGCCTGCCCCTCTCTCCAGTGACGGCTGCTGTTGCGTGTAGGACTCAGGAGGTCCCACTGACCACCAACCTCCCTTCTCCCTTGTTTGTTTCTGGCAGCTACAAGAGGTTTTCCGGCTGTTTGACAATGCCAACTGCCCGAGCCTACAGAACAAACCGAAAATGTTCTTCATCCAGGCCTGCCGTGGAGGTGAGTGCCCTGGCAGACCAGCACCTGGGTGTGGCTCCTGGGCAGCCTCCCACCAGCTCTCACTTTCCTGTTTGCTCCTCTCAGGTGCTATCGGATCCCTTGGGCACCTCCTTCTGTTCACTGCTGCCACCGCCTCTCTTGCTCTGTAAGTGTCTCCCAATGCATGGGGTGTGCTGGGACTTGGGCAGCCCCTGGCTCTCAGGTTGGTCAGCCCTGTGCACCTGCCACATCCTGTCCTGCCAGACGCTCTCTGCCAGTGTCTTCGCCTTCTTTCCTGAGGACGCTTCCTTCTTTCTGTGCTTATTAACGCTGATGCGCTTTTTTGGTTACTTATTCCAGTTAAGGATTTTCCGGCTGTCTCTGCTTCCTAGCCCTCTCACTTTATGCTCTTCCTCTTTTTTTTCTCCACCTCTCCTCCCCCTTTCCACCTTCTCCTTTTACTTCTCGTCTCAGCTACACTGCGTTCTCGTCTCCTCCCTTCTCTGTGTCACTCACGTGTCACGCAGGAAAGCAGCGCAGAAGCCCCGTGTCAGCCTCTGGCTCGTGCTCTTCCGTGAGCTGCTGCCGCCCCTCTTCTTTCTTGCACGCAGTCTCTTTTACCCCTTGAAGAGCCAGGACTCCCCGACTAGGCTCAGAAGACATGGAGGCCTGCCTCTCATCTTGGAGGAAAACAGTAATAACTAAAAGCTCTAAATGTGGAGTCCAATTCTGCCTCTACCACTGACTAGTTATGTCAGGTTAGAGAAGTTGCTCGATGTCCCTGCACCTGAGTTTCCTCAGTATAAAATGTAGATAATCATCAGACCTACTTCATAAGGTCAGGCTGTTGTGATGCTTAAGTGAAATGGTTCGTATGAAGGACTTACTTAGCACAGTACCTGGCCCATAGGAAATCCGCGGAAAGTACCAGCTCTGACTGTTAGGACATGATCCGTGCCCCTAAGGGGCTTGTAGTTTGATTTAAAGGTCACTTTGTCCAAGCATTCAAATAATACATTTTTTACATGGGTGTGGAGTAACAGATAGATCCTTTCAGGGAAAAGGGGGGAATGCAATGACAAGCATACCAAGATTAAAAAGATATCCCCTTCCCCCCGCCAAAAAAAAGGTGTGCTGAGCCAGAAGTATGCCCGAATCTAATTTAAAAACTGCGCGTCTGCATCAGTCATATGTAGTGGGATGTGGCTGACCACGTGATCTATACCTTTAGCTACAGCTCAGATTTTGGACTTCGGACTTTGACAGATAATAGTACAGAGCTATTGGGAGCTTAAGTAAGAAATAATGCGATAAATTTTTTTTTCAGGACGATTACCATGGCAGGGAAAAGTGCTAAGAAAAGAGTCTGTGCAGGCAGGAGCTTGCTTTTTTATGCACCTGCTGTATCCCCAGTCTCAGAGCACTACCTGATATGTAGTAGCACTTCATAAATATCGAACGAATGGATGGAAATTAATCTGCCTAAAAAGCGTAGCAATGATATAAAAAACATATATGGGGATACTGTGAAAAAAACATTTATTGATTAACAGATCTGAGACACAAAGACAAGGGAGGAGGCTCCTTTCTCTTGAGGGACACATTCAGCTTGGCCTGTTTCCTTTAGGAGGTGTCACTAGCAAAGTAAAAGGAAATAAACATGTTCATGATCATTTTCTCCTCCTATGTTCAGAGATTATATACAAATACTAGACCTGGATAGGGGAGAATTGCGCTCTTCTGGGCTAACGTGAATCTTCTCTCTACAATTAAATCCTTCAAGGCATGACCAGTAGCCAGCTCTTCCTTTGAAAGCCTGAGCTCAACTGTCTTCCGCTCTATTCAGTTAACATAATTGATGCCTGTTAGAAGGACCGCCCCACCCCGGATGACTGGCTCCTAAACTGGAGTGTAAGCTCCAGAAGGGCAGGGACTTTTCACTATATCCCTAGGGCCTCAAACAAAAACAGTGCCTGGCATATGGAAGTTGCTCAGTAAATTTTTATTGGATCAGTGAACCTTGGTCATTTTCTGCACAGACCTTCAAGCCTCACTCCCGTTTCAGGCTGTCTTGGGGGTCCTATGGAGAGGGAGGTATAAGAAAGCATACTTACTCCTTCAGCTTCGGCGTGACAGCCGTGTGTCCTGTGTCTCTCCTACCACCCCCACGACAACAGCATCAGAAAGAGAACATGTCTTGGGGTAGATAAGGCCTAGGTCAGGAGGTTGGACATGTGCTCAGGGTATGTTGAGAATCTACTGCTAATATTGAATAATAGTGTTCTTTTTACATTGTGTAGGAGAAAATAGTCAAATTATCCCAATTTTAAGTTTCTTTAAATTTCTCAAATTTTGCACGCCAGCTACAATTTGGCTTATGAAATTAATAAACAATAAATGATTTAAAAATACCCAAAACACCCTGAAAACAGCTGATCATGCTTAGTTTTATAATTTGTTTATTGATAGATTTGAGGTTGTAGTTTTCATATGGCATAAATGGAGTAATCATATTTTTGGTTTCTTGGTTTTTTTTACATAATAAAGCGAAATATATCAATATTTTACTGTGTATTGCAATAAGGAGCACTTTGACTTCCAGGAATATTGACAATTGAACAAGTGAATCATGGACGCAGATGGCTTTTCATTCTGTTTACAAGGAGTATTTGGTTCAGCACTTGCCCTGTCTTACACAGCGTGGACAGAGCTCGGACTGCGTGTATGTGCATGTGCTTGGGCGCGGCGTCCGGCCTGCCATGGGCACCCTCTGTGTGATCGGTGTACTCTGGCAGGGGAATGGGAGTAATGGTGTTCGTTCGTTTGTTTGTTTGTTTTTTAATTCATCAGCCACAGGTTGGAGGCAACAGCTGGAAATGGTTCTTCCCAGTCAAGGTTGCAGGGAACTCGGGCTTGACTGTGACAGGCCCAAGAGAGGAAATAACATCTCTGTCCACTCTGTCTGCCTTTGTACAGATGAGACGGATCGTGGGGTCGACCAGCAAGACGGGAAGAACCATGAGCGATCCCCCGAGTGCGAGGAGAGCGATGCCAGTAAAGAGGAGGGGCTGAAGATGCGACTGCCCACTCGCTCGGACATGATTTGTGGCTACGCCTGCCTCAGAGGTATCGTGAGTTCCAAAGGAGAGATCCAAAAGGTGGCGTCTCTCTCTGACTGCGGAGGGAGCGGGTGTCGGCGAGGTCCGTCCAGCTGTGTGAGGGTGCCCAGGACCTTCCCTGTGTGCTCACTGCTGTCCTGGTTGCAGGGACCGCTGCCATGCGCAACACCAAGCGGGGCTCCTGGTACGTGGAGGCCCTCACTCAGGTGTTCTGTGAGAGGGCGTGTGACAAGCATGTGGCCGACATGCTCGTGGAGGTAAGTCGGCTCAGTGGTGCCAGGAACCTTCTACGTCCCCGTGCTGTTCTACCTTCCTCCGCCCTTGCCCTGTTTTTCACAGTCTCCCTACCCTTCCTCTTCTGGGATCATGGAAACACCTGATTCTCAAACCATGGGCCCTGGGTTTCTGCCTTTGCAGGTGAACGCGCTCATCAAGGAGCGTGAAGGCTACGCCCCGGGCACGGAGTTCCACCGATGCAAGGAGATGTCCGAGTACTGTAGCACTCTGTGCCGCCACCTCTATCTCTTCCCGGGACACCCTCCCACGTGATGCCACCTCCCATCACCTGGGCCACATGGAGGCCGCTGGACCACGGGAGGTGTGATAGAGCCTCCTGTCTCTAGGACGCACGGTTTCTGTCCCTCCCCCTCAGGGATTGGGAATATCCCAGGCTCATTTCACACGCCCATCGTCTCCATCTTTCACCTGGGACTACAGGCCGGCTACTCCCATGGGAGGCTCTCTCCCTGTGGAACCAGCTCCGGCTGGACTTGTTGCCTGGAGCGTTTGGCCTCAGTTGAGGGACCTGGCAAGTGATGTTACGAACATAGTGTCTCGATGGGTGGGGAGAGGACGTGTGGGTTTCCTCCATGTTGTGTTCAGTTTCTGCCCCCAGGGCTCTTGTAGGAAGCGTTTGGTGATTGCTTTTATTACTTTAGTTGAGATGTCTCAGAGGTCATCTCCCATCTTTTCTGTCACATCCCAGCCCCATTTGTCTCAGAGTGAGTTTGGAAGGTGTCCTGGTTTAACATAGACCTTTTTCATTTGGTTTCAAAAGGCCAAGCAGGACAGCAGTCACTCTCTGCTGCTGTGGGTGGGCCCGTACCTGTGCATTCATTCCCTTTGGTTCCAGAATGTCACCCCCCGGAAGGACTGTCTTCTCAACTCCACTCTTGGCTCCTTGGGGCTCAGGGAATCCAGCGTTCAGCAGAGGTTAGGGTTTGGATGCCTTGTATCTGTTGCCTGTTGATCTTTGCCCACGGAAGTTTCAAAGATCTTTTAATTGGTTGTCCTTTCTCCGAGCTTTGTACCTGAAATGAGCCCTGCAGGGAGTGTCAACAGAGGCAGATAAGAGTGGTATGCTTGTTCATACTCTGTAATCTGTCACCTTATCCTCGTTTTTCTTCCTATGAAGTGTCCCCTCTATAAAAGCTTCCTAGTTATCTCCCTGCTTCCTGTTTCTCCCCTCTTCACCTTCGTCTCATCCTGTTTACTGCTGCCACCAGCTCTGTCTAAAATACTGCTTAATTGGATCATTTGGCTGCTCAAGGATGTGATGTAGTACCTTGTTCCCTCTTTCTGCTTCAGTATTAAATCCCCTCTTGATTTTATGTGGCCAATTTCCCCTTCCTGTTATGACTTTCCATTTCAGGGAGACCACTGCTGTATATGTTATTTGTTCACCCTAGAAGCCATCTTTATCTGTGCTTTTATGAAACTTCCTTATTCTTTTTTTTTTTTTTTTTTTTGCGGTATGTGGGCCTCTCACTGCCGTGGCCTCTCCCGTTGTGGAGCACAGGCTCCGGACGCGCAGGCTCAGCAGCCATGGCTCACGGGCCTAGCCGCTCCGCGGCATGTGGGATCTTCCCGGACCGGGACACGAACCCGTGTCCCCTGCATCGGCAGGCGGACTCTCAACCACTGCGCCACCAGGGAAGCCCATTGGTTTGGGTTTTTAAGTATAAATCTGATGCTGTTACTCCCCTGCTTGGAATCCTCTGGTTTCCTATCACACCTCAAATAAAATCCAGACTCTTTACCTTGGCCTGCAGGGCCTCACTAAGTGCTGATTTCCCCGTAACCTACTGCTGTCCTCAGTTTCTCAGACATTCTGAGGCCTTTCCTGCCCGAGGCCATCAGACACTCCTGGGTCCACTGAGTCCACTCTTGTCTCTGGTGGCTTCTTTCTTTATCCTTCAAGTCTGAGCTTAAATGCCACCTTGTTGTGGAGGCCTTCCCAGGCCATTCTGTCTCTAAGAATCACGTTTCTTTATTACTGTGTCCTGTTTAATCCCCCTTATTGCACTTATCACAATGCGTAATCATCAATTAGCGTGCTTCACTTGTTCATTCCCGTCTCCACTTTAAGCTCCATGAGAGCAGAAACCTTGTCTCTTTTGTTCACTAACATGTACCCAGTGCCTGACATGTCTTGGATCTTCAATAAATGTTTGCGGAAGGAAGGAAGCGACCCTAGCTAGACTCCTACTTTTTGACAAAATTTCCCTTTTGGCAAAATACCCAGTTTAGTACTTGTACTCTGTATTTTCCCACGTTTTGTTTCATCCACTCGTATTATTAGCTCCTGAAGACAGAAGTCGCACGTAGGACAACTTTTTCCACACCTCGTGTGGTTCCGGGCACACTGCTCAGCCTCTCGTGGTTCAGGTGCTCGGTGAATACTTGTTCTGCAGGGCTTCGGAGACTTGTTGCCAAGTGCTGCCGTGGGCTCGGTATCGTATGGAAGTATTTGGGTGACAGAACCTTTCCTCTTCCCACTGCCAGGATTTTGTATTGCCATCTGGTGCCAAATAAACGTTCATATTTATTACCGATGTGTGCCTGACGTCTCTGTAGCTGTGAATAATCTGTGTCTAAAGCCCACTTACTTCCACTGCCTTAGCTTCTTACAGCGTTCCTCACCACCTCACGAGGCATACCCAGAGCCGAACACCTCTTGTTTTGCTGCCAGATCTTGTTTATTTTTACTTTTTTGCTGTACACGGGCCTCTCACTGTTGTGGCCTCTCCCGTTGCGGAGCACAGGCTCCGGACGCGCAGGCTTAGCGGCCATGGCTCACGGGCCCAGCCGCTCCACGGCACGCGGGATCCTCCCGGACCGGGGCACGAACCCGTGTCCCCTGCATTGGCAGGCGGACTCTCAACCACTGCGCCACCAGGGAAGCCCTGCCAGATCTTTTTTATACAAGCAGATCCACACCTTGGATGAGCCCATCTCCATTGTCGTGGCCACAGGCAACCCCAAAATATGGCTACCAGCACTGGGACTCCTCATGGTCAGAAGAGATGGAAGAGTCACTGGCAAGCAGTGTTAGTTCTGGATTGCTTAGATTATGGGATGGAGGCTGGAGAAACAGGTTGAGCTAGAATAGGATGAGGATCCTAGAATTTCCGATCTCACGTGATCCGATTTGGATTTAAGGTTTTCCAGGGTGGGCATAGGTCGTAAGAGAATTCTCGGGCAGCATGGAAGAGGTCTAAGTAGTGGGCTGTGTAACCTGGGAGTTCTCGGTGTGTGGTGTGTCTTCGCCCAGAGAGGTGGGTGTACGCATGCAGATGGGCTACGGGGGGCCAACACGTTCTGTTGGAGCATTGTGGTAGGAAGCTGCTGTGGACCTTGGAAGGAAGCTTGTCCAGGAATCCAGAGGAGGAAGAGTTAACAGGGATGAAGCTGAGCTGAAACATCACTGGGTGGAGGAGGGGCACTGAACTGCGGAGCGGGCTGGACCCGGGGACCTTCTCCAGGGGTGGGAGGTGGAGACACAGCCCCAGGGAGGGGCACTGGAATAGTGGGAGGAAAGAGTTGGGGAGGCCGGTGTGTTGGGGATTAGAGAGCAGCATATGCTGAGCTGGATTCCACGTCCTTCCTGCCCCACCCTTGAATAAGGGTATCAGGTTGAATTTCAGAGCTCTGTCCCCTCTGCCAGGGGATTTTCTAAAATTATACCCCATCCCTGAGCTGGGGGTGGCCGTTTGCTGCCCTCCCCCATCCTGTTTCCTGTAATAGGGAAGAGGAAAACAGGAAGAAATGGGACAGATGGGATATGAGCTGAGGGGGAAAGTGGTCTGAGGCGAAGAGGTTCGTAACAGCTCTAGTTGCCCTAGTGCTCGGTGCATCTCCCAGGCGCTGTGCAGCTTTACACCGTCCTCCCACAGGCCAGGAGGGCGTCATCTCCCTGGTTCTTTTTCAGAAGTGGAAAATGAGGCTCAGAGACTTCAATTATCCAAAAAAAAAAAAAGATGTAGCTTTAAGGACATGGACTCTAGAATTAAATAGATGGCAAATGGTGGCTTGGCCTTTTAAGGTATCAGAGACCGTGGCTAAGGTACCTAATCTCACCCTTATCTAAACACAGGGAAATCATTGCTACCTTAAAAGGATGAAGGATGCTACCCTACGAGTATGCATGGTGGATCCCACAGGGTTAACACATTACACATCTGTTAACCATCTGCTAACCCCATAGCCCACCTGCATGTGTACAACCTACCTCTCCGGACATCTGAGATGGCTGTTAACCATCTCACAGAATAAACTTCGGTTTAATGACACAAGTTAACATTCAGAGCTCACTTTGGGGCAGGCACTATGACTTCCACGTGCGTTCTTTTCTCTCTGTAACCCTGTTAAGTTACTGCCTTTCTGAGGAAACGGAGGCCAGGATGGGAAACAATCTGGCAACTTGAGTTCATGCTCTCAGCTAACAATATTGCTTCTGTGACTTTTTTCTTAGCATGAGATTTTCTCCCTCCTCACTTTTTGGGGCCAGAGATTTTTCCCACTGAGCTGGGAGAAGGAGCCTGAGACCAGAGACTTTATTCCATCTTAGCCCTTTTGGGGTAGAGAATAGGGAAAAAGTGTACTGTATCGTGTTCAAAAATACAGAAGGGGAGAAAGAAAGAGCCCTGTCCAGCGCTCTCGGGAAGGCCTCATATGCAGGGTATGGGAAGGGACCAGGGATTTTTGAAGGATCTGGAAGGCAAGGTCCAAGAAGCAGTAGAGGAGAAATGACTGCCAGTGAGGACAACTGCAAAGGGAAAGTGTGTTCAGAGGAAGTTGCAGTTGCCTAGGTGAAGTTTCAGCAAGTAGGTGGTCATGGGTTCCATGCTAGGCTGGATGTGCAGAGGGGAAGTCATGACCGAAAGCGCCTTAGAGAGAATGTAATGGTGTATCATCCAATGGTTGGAGAGGCCAGACTTGAAGAGGTGGGAGTCTGAAAACAAGGGTTTAACCCAGGGAGAAAGTTCCTGCTTAAATTGATGTGGGGATGCCAAGGGGCTGGCTGTTCACGACCACCTATACCCTAACACACGTCCCCTTGCACCTGTGACCCAGATGGTCATTTCAACAAGCTTTCTTCAAATAGAAATTCTATAAGCCTATAGGTTTTAACCTTCTAGTCTCATGGACCTCAAGAAAGTCTACTTAAAACCCCAAAAGAATACATATACGGTATACATATCTCATAGATAAATGCATGCTTATGAATTTGTTTCCAAATTTAGGAGCTTTTCGAAGAACTCCCCAGAAACCCATCTTTGGTCTTCCAACTAAGAGCCTAAGCGCTGTCACCCATGGGGTGTTGGCATGGAGGGGGGCACCGTTTACATTTTATTTTCTTCTCTTGCAGGCTGATAGCCCATGAGATTTTAACTAGCTCTAATCTCAGACTCAAGATCATTCCTCTCAAATCCTTGCCCTCCAGCACTAGCAGCTATAGACTTCCTCGACCCTCGTGATTTCAGAATCTGGTTTTTAGAATTGCTGCTCGTTCTTCTAGGTGGCTTGGTGGAGTGTGAGGGTTTTCTCAGTGCCAACAACCTCTGCCTTCAAATTCTGGAATCTACAACCAGGACCTGATTTTCTCAGGAACGGTGAAGAAATTGCAATTGCCCTAGATACCTGTTTCTTGGGATTATGACGCCCCTACAGAAACCGGCTACCTTCAGGGGAGCCATACTCCACAAAGGCGTGGAAACCTTTTCTGTTTCTGAAGCCCCCCGCAAAGAATATAATTGCACTTCGGCATTCTATCTTCTTTATTAAGAAAGTATTTCTTTCATCTCACGCCATCCCCTTAGATCTCTTTTCTTACATTCTGCCTGCAGAGGAGTGAGATATTACAGAACCTCCAGGCCCTCAAATCACACATTTTTAATCTTCGTGGGTAGATTATAGGCCTTCAGATTTATGTTAGAAAAGGTACTTTTAATGGTATTCATTTTCTCACCTGCTTTGGACAGTCCCATTCAGCCTAGAACAAAATGTAATTGTAGCCCAGATGTTTGGTGTCCCTACCCTGCAGCCCCTGAACGTTGGCTGTCCTGGGACAGACCTCACTTGATGATGGATCCTAAACCACACATTGGCTCACGTTTATCAATTTTTTTCTATAGTGAAGAGCTCAGAGGGGAAGGACTGTACTAGGAAAACTGGTTTAAAAAAAAGTGTGATGCCAGATAGAGTAGTTTGGCCTTGGCCAAAAATTATTTATTGACCTGAAAAGGGAAGAATATCAGAGTACTTCCCTGTCATCTTTTACGTGTGTCGGGCTCATCGCGAGAAACGCCCTTTCCCTTCCCTCCTCGGCCTCCCTCGTTCCCCTGGCCCACTTCCCCTTCTCCCCCGTTATCTAACCTGCCCTGATAGACCTCCGAGGGATGCTCCACGGTCTGAACGGAGGCTCAGTCCCTCCCTGTACATCCAGGCTGCTGGTGTGGCTGACGTGTACCAGTCTGGGACGTGGGAGAAATGCCAGAACGCGAGGCTATTACCCCTGTGTCCCACACCCAGGGGGTGATGAAGGTGTGGTCAAGGGGATGACCCCAAAGCATCACCAGCAGCCTCTGGCAGACAGAAAAGGCAGAGCTGGAGGAGAAAGCCGAACACTGGCTGGGTTGGGGGAGAGCTGGTTCCACAGATGAGAACTAAACCTCAGGAAGACACAGAGCCGGGAACAAGCCTGCAGGGAAAGATGGCAGAGAGGCGCCGGTTACTCTGCCAGGTGAGCTGCCCCCCGGTGCTTCGGGACCCTAGGACCACTCCATCCAGCTCCTCCGCCCTCATGTCCCCACAGACTGAAGAAAAGAGGTGGGTTGCTTAGAGGAGGCAGACCCGGGGCAGCACACAGGTCTGAGAGCATGCGAAGCTGTTTTCCATCCTGGTCTGGGCAATGTTTACAGCCGGACCAGTGGCTTGGGGCTGGGAGCCTCCTAGTGACTAAGGAGGGGGACAGTGCTGGCCCTGCTGAGGGAATTCCCTGCGGGGCTGTCCCACAGGTTCTCATCCCAACCCCTCCCCCCACACGGCTCTCACACCTGCTTCGACCCCAAGCAGATCAAATGTGGCTGGGTTGGGGGGTGTCATGTGACGGAGAGATGGCTATAAATAGCTGGGGGTGGGCACGCTGCCCCAGACGCCTTGGGGACAGGCAGGAGGGCAGGCTTAAGGAGCTGTACTGGGGGGAGGGCAGGGACAAGCAGGCCGAGGCCTGGCTGCGGGAGGGAGCATGGAGCCATCTGGGTCCCAGAGGCATGGGGCCGAGCCCAGCTGGTGGGGTAGCGCCCCCCAGTACCAGTACATGCCCTTTGAACACTGCACCAGCTATGGACTGCCCTCCAAGAGTGGCGGCCTGCAGCACAGGCTCCGGAGGGATGCAGGCTCCCGTCCCAACGCCCGCCCCACACAGGTAACGTCCTAAGGGGAGGGGGCGGTGGATTCGAGGAGACGGTGGTACCATGGATTGGGGGCAAAGAGGAATCAGGTGAAAAGAGGGAGCACTGTGATCTTTTTAACTTGAAAAAGTATGCAGTCATGTGTTCAAAATATGAACATTCTTCAAAGGTCTGGATTCAGCCTTGTGAGCTCCTTATACAGAGATACACGGGTACTTTAACACAAGCTTTACTAACAGAACCCCCGAATCCTGGGGGGAGAGGGCAGAGCCACACATGCATGACGAGCTCGTGCTTACGTAACCCACACGAGGTGAGTGGCAGAGGGGACCACACCTCTGTGTGCGTGAGCTGTCCTTACACCCTCACCCGCGTGCAGACACCACCGGATTTCTCCCTCCCCACCCTCGGCAGGACACACACAAATCAGCACTTCTGCAGAAGGCAGAAGAGTTGGGATGAGTGGAGAAAATGGACTGAATTGCATATCAGTGATCAAAGGTAGACCAGTGTCAAACGAGCAGAAGAAATATAATCAAACTTTCAGGTGGGAGGATTAATTAAGCACCGATGAAATGGCAGGCACCTGGACAGGTACAGAGATCTGTACCCAGAGAGAGGGGCTTGTGAACTAATTAGGGATGTCCAGGGATAGATATCCTCCAGGGCTTCTAGACATCTAGGAATGGGCAATGGGATGAGCATCGCTGAAAGACAGGCTGGGAGCTTGTCGCAGATAAATACACAGGTTAGGATTAGCGAGTGAATGTGCCTGCAGAGAGCGACAGGATGGAACCTGTCAGGAGGACCAGGAAATCAAGATTTAAAAGTGTGTTAGCCAACGAGGGGGTGGACTGTGGTTCCTCTAGTTCACGGGGTCTAGACAGGACTGGGAAACTGAGGGCTGGCCTGGGCTGGTGATCTCAGCACCGGGGTCAAGAGGATCCGCGTCTCAGTCCGGATCCATCCCGAGGGTGGCGGGTAAGGGCAGCCCCGGAGAATCAGGTGGGGACCGGGACACAAAAGCCAGCAGAGGCTCCAATGGTGAGTCAGAGAGGGCTTCCTGGAGGAGGGGACCCTGGAACACTGTGTGGGGTTGGACAGAAAGACCTCTGCTCATGGCCCTGGGCTCACTGTCACCGTGTAGGCGGTCTGGGTGGGATGACGACTTGCGTAAAGGTGCAGTTATGGCATCTTCTGGTGACAGTGAGGAAACCAGGTACACTAGCGTGAAGCTTCCTGTTGCAAAGGAATGCTCAGGTGACTTGGGAAGTAGGGTTCCAAAGGACCTCCAAAGGGCCCTGAAAGCAAAGAAGGGGAGTTTGGACTTAAGTTTTCCTCTGTTTAAATTTTATTATGGAAATTTCACACTCATACAAAAACAGAAAGAGCAGTGTAATGAATGCCCAAGTACCCCTTGCCCGATGGTCAGTCATCAGTATTTTGTCAGCATCGCTTCACCCATCCTCCCAGCCCCAGCCCCAGCCCCCCACACACGGGTGTTTTTGTTAAGGAATCTGGACGCTGCGAATGCTTTCAGGCTTGCTTTCTCCCTGCCCCCCCAGCCCTGCTCGACTGGTGCACACTGGTCCAGCCAGCACAGATCCGGCTCTTTCAGTGTTTCCCAGCCCAGTTTGGCATGGAGCACCCTCTTCTCGTCTCCACCAGCCTGGGAACCAAGGGGGCTGAGGCAGCCCGTGTGCTGGCCCCCCGTGGGTAATGTCTTCTCTCGGGGGCCAGGTAGGGCACAGAGGGAAACACGGCTTCTCTCAGTCACATCCCAGAAGACGAAAGAGCCATGAGCAGGGTATTAGTGCGTGCCTGTCCAGGACTCGGGCATAAACTCTACTTCTTGTATTGTGAAATCAGATCTCTTCTACCCAGGCTCTCCCAGAACCAGCAACATGGCCTGGCCTGACCCTGGCTCCAGAGGACGTAGTTAGTGCAGTGGAGGTGGGGCAGTTAGAGACCTTGTACACACACACACACACACACACACACACACACGCACACCCCAAACACGCAAGCTCTACTTCAGGAGGAAGTGGACTGCCTTGCTTTATCCGGGCTGAGTCCAGTTTGTGCATTTGAGCACAGGAAGGGGAGGTAGATGGGCTTTCTCTAAGCCTGGCAGGGCAACTGAGGGGCCTCATTGAAGCTAGACACAGCAAGGCCAAGAGCAACGAAGAGTCACCTGCTGATCTTTCCTTACCCCGTCCACATCAGTGTGAGGGGTCTGGGGAAACAAGAGAGAGGCTGAGACACAGGAAGCAGTGACACAAAAACATGTAATTGATGCAGATGCCCAGTATCAGCACAGTTTTTTAAAAAAATACATTTATGTATATATGTATGTATGTATGTATTTATGGCAACATCGGGTGTTCATTGCTGTGCACGGGCTTTCTCCAGTTGTGGCGAGCAGGGGCTACTCTTCGTCGTGGTGCCGGCTTCTCATTGCGGTGGCTTCTCTTGTTGTGGAGCACGGGCTCTAGGCGTGCAGGCTTCAGTAGTTGTGGCTCGCGGGCTGTAGAGCGCAGGCTCAGTAGTTGTGGCTCATGGGCTTAGTTGCTCCGCGGCATGTGGGATCTTCCCGGACCAGGGCTCGAACCTGTGTCCCCTGCACTGGCAGGTGGATTCTTAACCACTGCGCCGCCAGGAAAGCCCTCAGCACAGTTTTTGTATCCCTACTTCAGAGTAGAAATTGGTCCCCTTGATTAAGGCTGCTGTTGACCAAGATGACTACAGATGTGCAAAGGTGTGGATGGATAGACAAGGGTGAGGAGTGGGAAAAGTGCAGACGGAGAATGGGAAGTGGAGGGCACGGATGACCACAAAGTGACCCTGCCCAAGGCCCTCAACACCCAGGATTTTATTTTATTTTATTTTTATTTATTTATTTTTTTTGCGGCACGCCGGCCTCTCACTGTTGTGGCCTCTCCCGTTGCGGAGCACAGGCTCCGGATGCTCAGGCTCAGCGGCCATGGCTCACGGGCCCAGCCGCTCTGCGGCGTGTGTTATCTTCCCGGACCGGGGCTCAAACCCGTGTCCCCCGCATCGGCAGGTGGACTCTCAACCACTGCGCTACCAGGGAAGCCCAACATCCAGGATTTTTAAAAGCTGTTTGTTTGTTTTATCTATGGATCTATATGCTTCCCTCTATTTCTTTTAACTCTTCAACAAGACAGACCTTTCCCATCTCCCTCTGTCCAGATCTATGGCCATCACAAAGCGCAGTTCTCAGACAACGAGCAGGACACGGGGATGCCCAAGACGATGGACTCCAGTGCTTCCATGGACAGCACGGAAGAGGATCACTATTCTAAATGTCAAGGTGACGGGGACCGGGGGATAAAGGAATGTGTAATGCAAGGAGGTACAGGGATTAGGACACTAGCTCAGAAGACGTGCTGCATATTTCTGGCTCGTCATCCCCACACGCACACCAAAGCCCTCCTCCAGGTATTAAGGAGAAGACATGGCTCCCATGTCCTTCTCATTCTGCCTTCCTACTATCCCTTCCACGCAGCCCCAAGAAACTAGGGTTTAGAAAGGAATCAAGTAGCCAATGGGGAATTGGACTTTGGTGCCTTCTGAAGGGCAGAGCAATGAGAAGAAACTCAGGGAATGAGACATAGAGACAAGACCCCGAGGGCCCTGCACGTCCCGTCCTCAGCCACACACACACAGTAGTGACTGGTTACCTGCTCCCCTTTACTTTCTTTTCCTAGGTTGTATCCACCGTCTGGGACTCGTGATGAGAAGAAAATTAGGGGAAGACTGGATCTTTCTGCTGCTTCTGGGGCTGCTTATGGCTCTGGTTAGCTGGTGCATGGATTATGTCAGTGCCAAAACCCTTCAGGGTAGGTTTAACCTGGCCCTTTGCCCTCAGCCCTCCCCATACTGCAGTTGTTCTAGAGTTTCGACCTAGGGTAAGCTGTGGGGGGGGGGGGGGGGGTGGGGGGGGGGGGGGGCTTTGGGAGGAGGATGGTACACAGAGGAGATCAGGTGTAGCTCTGGCCCAGGATGAGACCAGACCCAGACCCAGATCCATTTTTTCTGCCCCTCCCACCTGCTACCAGCCAAGCTGTGGGGACCCCTCTCACAGGGTGACCAACTTGTCCTAGCTCTCCTAGGACTTTTCAGTTCAGGCAACTGGAAACACCTGGAGTCCCAGGAGCCCCTCAGTGCCGGGTTAACCGGAGTGGTTGGGTGAGCCACAGCCGCCAATGACGCGCCCACAGAGTGTGGTTTGCTGCACTGGCGCCCACTTGACCTCCTACAACTGGTGGGAACTTGAACGGGTCGCGTCTCATCCCCCAGCTTAGACCCCCCCACTGTGTCAAATGAGAACAGTGCCATCTCTGAGGTCGAACGGGACAGCCATGGCGGGAGCACGCTCCTAGCACGCTGTTCCATGCCGTGAGTGTGGGATGGCAGCAACATGCCATCCACATAGGACTAAGCCCAGACGCCTGTCTCTGCAGCCTACAAGTGGACCTACTACCAGATGCAGCCCAACCTGCCTCTGCAGTTCCTGGTCTGGGTCAGCTTCCCACTCATCCTCATCCTCTTCAGTGCCCTCTTCTGCCACCTCATCTCTCCCCAGGCTGTCGGTGAGAACTTCCCCATCATGCCATCAACATAATCCAGCAGAATCTCATTGGCCTGTAGACCTCGCGCTCCCCTCCCTCCCTCCCCCACCCCCCTGACAGTCCTTTCGCCGCTTTGCTACTGTCCTCCCCCCATAGACCTCTTGCCCCACCCCTATGTCCACTATCTGGATGTCCGTCTACCTTTAACCTCCAGCTTGAACCTGCACACAATCGTTTTTTTAAAAACCCTTTTAGGCTCTGGAATCCCTGAAATGAAGACAATACTTCGCGGGGTTGTCCTGAAGGAATATCTCACCCTCAAGGCCTTCGTGGCCAAGGTTGTGGCCCTGACTGCGGGGCTGGGCAGTGGCATCCCTGTAGGGAAAGAGGTAGGACTCCAGTTACTGTGGGGTGAGCTAGGCAGGTCCTCAGGCAGAGGGCGGCACTGAGTCTAGAGGGAGCTCCGGGGGCAGCCGTGGACCATGGGGATTCCGGAGGAGAGATACATGGGAAGGTCCTCATCAGCGCTGGGAGCACCTTAGAGCAGAATCTCGCATCCTGGGCACAGTGGGCATTTGGGGCTGAGTAAGTCTTGGTTCTGGGGGGCCGTCCCGTACATTGTAGGACGACTAGCAGCCTCCCTGGCCTCTACCCCCTACATGCCAGCAGCTGTCCTCTCCCCGTCCCCAACCCCCGCTGTGACAATCAGAATGTCTCCAGACATTGCCAAAGGTCCCCTGGGGGCAAAATCTCCCCCAGTTGAGAACCACTGCCTTAGAGACAATCCAGACACATTCTGTGAAAACTGAGACCTAAAAGAGGCTGTTTTTTTTCAAGGTTATGCTCCTGTACCTTCTCGCCCCCCCTGCAGCCAGAGTTATCTTTTCAAAATGGAATCAGGAATGTCTGCCCTCTGGTCAGGAACTTCGCATGGCTTTCCATTCCTCTTCAAATGAGGTCCACACTTATTCCTGGGGCCTAGGGGGCTGTGGTGATCAGGCTGCCCCTCCTCCCCCGAGCTTGAGTGACAGGCACTTTCTGCCACTCAACTGCGCGAGCCTGCCCCCCCCCCCCCCCCCGGCCCCTGCACTTGCTGTCCCCTCAGCCTGGAACATTCTCCTTCCCGGTGCCCAAGCGGCTCACGCCTCATTTCCATCAATGCCTTACTCAGTTGTGACCTTCCCCATCCCACCCTCAGTTTTCCTGTCTCTCTCTCTCTCCTCTGACCCTCCCTCAATTTCTTCTTAGCCCCTAGCATTTCCTTTTTCTCCCTTTTTTTTGGAAACGTATGTATGTATGTATGTATATATGTATTTATGGCTGCGTTGGGTCTTCGTTGCTGAGCGGGGGCTTTCTCTCGTGGCGAGCGGGGGACATTTTCTGAAATGATAATATGCTGGCGTATCACCCCCCTTCCTCCCTGGGATGAAGCTCTGCGAAGGCAGAACCTCTATCTTGCTCACGTCTGTATTTCCAGCCCCTGGTACAGTGCCTGGAGCAACCAATGTCTGTCCAAGAATGCCGCCAAGCCCCCCATCCGGCCCCCTGCCCCTGACCCCTCGTCCCCCTTCTCTCTCCCAGGGCCCATTTGTCCACATTGCCAGCATCTGCGCCGCTGTCCTCAGCAAGTTCATGTCCGTGCTCTGTGGGGTGTACGAGGTAAGGCTGAGAAGGCAAAAGGAGCTGGGGCTGTGCGCGCTGGCGGGTGGGGCAGGGCTGCCTTGGCCGTGATGCTGAGCCGGGCACTGCGCTAACCCACGCTCCCTCGTCCCCACACACGTGGCGCCACCCGCCTACTGCAGCCACGCGATGCCGCTGTTTAGCCTGTGCCCGTTCCTTGACGCCCCCCACCCCCACCCCGATCCCTGCCCCCGCATCGGGGCTCGGCACGTGGTCCGCTCCTCAGCCGCCCGGGTGTCAGTTCCCCTCCGGTGCCGCCCCGTCCCTTTGTTGTTTCTGCCCCTCCACCCCGTCTCGTGCGCGCTCCCCCGCCCTGGCCGCGAGCTTCTCTGTTGCAGACTGTGCCTGGGCAGCTTGATCTCCTGGTGTCGGCCTGCGCGGTGGGCGTGGGATGCTGCTTTGCAGCCCCTGTCGGAGGCAAGTCCCACTTCCTCCCTACCCCGGTGGCCCGAGGGGTTGGAGCGGTTGCCACAAGCTTTGGGGTGGAGAGGGGTGCTCGCGGAAGGGACTGGTGGGTGGACCTTCAGGGTGTGACCCTGGATCACAGGCCCTGGACTCCAGGCACCCGCGCTTTTTTTTTTTTTTTTTTTTTACCAGAGAGCTGTCTGTTCTTTTGAGGCTGGTGGCTGTTTCTTGCCGGCCTTATTGGTGCTGTTTGTCTGAAGTCCTTTCCTGTCTCTCTTGCTATTGACACTTCTTGCCATGATTGTCCCCATCTCCAGCGCCTCTCTGGTGACCATTGATTGGCTGACCTTCCTTCCATATATTTGCCTAACATTTATTTCATTTTCTACGTTTGACCTTGTGCTAGGAGATCACTTCCTGTTTGCCAAACTAACTTGAGTTTCTCTTGGCCTGGGATCGCAGGGGGGAGACGGGGCCACTGTGATTCCCTGTGACTTAAGCCGCTCCTTCTTTATTCCCCACCCTTGCCTGTTGTCCTTTCCTCCTCTGCCCCCCTGCCCATCCTTCCCATCTGGCTCTTTGTCTGTGTCTCCCCCAGTAGCAGCCATACTATTACACTGACATGCTGACCGTGGGCTGTGCAGTAGGAGTCGGCTGTTGCTTTGGGACACCGCTTGGAGGCAAGTGATTTACCCCCGCCTGCGTCTGTCCACTTGCCTGGTCTTACTCCCAAAACAGTTTTCGTCAGCATCCCCAAGTTCTATTACGAGCAGTGAAAACAAGGGTAAAGCAAGAATAGCTTTTAGTGAGCATTTACTATGTGCGGGCAGTGTTCTGAGGACTTTACATCCCTTCCTGTCCAAAGCTGGATGAGATCTACATTAAGGAAGAGAGGGAGAGTTAGTGACTTGAGCAAGGTCATCCTGTTAATAAGCGGTAGAGCCAGGAAGGAAAACCGAGGCGGCCTTTATGGGTCCCGTACTTATATTAAAACCCTTCGTATTGTTGGATATTTTTGCCTTTCACTTATTACATCTTCTAACAGGGGACTCCTGTGGATGTTCCTCTTGGTTTTTTGCTCTTGAATAATTCATTTTTGTCATTGTTTTTAATTGAAGTATAATTGACGCCTCTGTGTATTTTCTTCTCCAAGGGAAGACTTCCCTTTGGTTGTATGTTGTTAATGACACAGAAGTTTAGGCGGACCTTACTTAGATTAATGGTCAGCTTTATTTTTATTTTTTGGCCGCGCTTTGGGGCATGCGGGATCTTAGTCCCCCGACCAGGGATCAAACCTGTGCCCCCTTCATTGGGAACGTGGAGTCTTAACCACTGGACCGCCAGGGAAGTCCCAATAATCAGCTTTAAATGAGGACTACAGGTGGAAGTAAAGTGTCGTTTTTCCTTGCCAGCAATTTAAGATTGAGTTTAGCTCTTTCTACTAATGTTAGACATAGGGTAACCTTTCAGATTATTTTCCTTGTCCTGAATAACTAACAAGTGGGCATGGTCAGAGAAAGCTGTTGTATCTGTTTATTTACTCATTGATAACAGTTATAACCAGATTAACAGAGCAAGGATTATAAAGATCATTCATTGGATTCATTGGTGATAAAAAAGACACCATGTTGACAATCTGAGAAGCAAAACTGCAGGAAAGGCATATGCTTCTTAAACGCACCAGCTGTTAGAGGTGTCTTTCAATTATGAACACGTAATCAGTCCTTGCACAGAGGAGTCTCAGGAAACTAAGATGACTTGGCTCAGGAACGATATATGGATAAACGTGTACAGTTAATGAAAACGTACCATGCTCACTTGAACTGACACTGAACCAATGTCAGCGAACACGTCAGCTGGCATCCTGTTTGCACTTTTGTTGTCAGCTCTTGTCATTAAAGTCATAGTCACCAGCCAGTGAAGGGTCGTGTGTTTGAATTTCTGCACACATTAAATGTTCACACTTGCATTTATACCCGCTCTCACCTTTATTTGGTCTTTTGTCTTACAAATCCAGAAGGTCTGAAGAACGTTTTTAGAAAGGTAGCATTTGTTTTTGTTTTTGTTTCTAATCAGATTCTTTTAAAGTGAAGAGAATATGAATTGTTTGCATAAAACTAGAATTTCTGGGGTGAATGAGGAAGGTTCTTCATGATCCCGTGTAGAGAACGGGAGAGGCAAATAGAAAAGTTACAGATAAAACATGGCTCCTGAGAAAATGTTAAGCATTGAAAAGTCAAAATGCTGTTTTCAGGATGTTTGTAATAAGTGGCAAATATTAAATGAATTTGTAGATAACATTACTTGATTGCCTTTATTTTATGAACATAGACTAATTCTAAAATTAAAAAATTAGAATAATTTATTCACTATATGGTCAACTCTTAATTCCTTACACCGATGAAAGAAATTTGCTTCACTGTTTGGCTAAAATGGCAAATATGTTTTTGCTTCCATATGTGCCCTCTGCCGTGAGCCCTCTGGGCGCTGTGCTGGTTCCTGTGCTCTCAGGTACCCACGGCTGAAAGGGTGGACAGGAAGGCAAGCAGACCATCACACTTCACTCAAGAAGCGTCCCAGTGGCAGCCTGGGCAAAGTGCAAGGAAGATATTCTGGAGAGAGAGGAGACAGCATTGCAAAGTCAAGATGTAAGGGACTAAAATTAACATATATGTGCATTTCTAGAGGATACAGGGGAAGGAATGACAGGAAATGAGTCTGGATAGGTACCTGGGGGCTGAAGCCTGAAGGTCCTCCTAGGAAATGCACAAGAATGTCAATTTCATTCTCTAGGCTAGAATTAGCCCGAATGTGTTTTATGGAACACAGTTCATGGTGTTAACAGACATAACCCTTAAACAGTGTTCCAAGATAAGATAAGTTGAAAAATACTGGGTTCAAAAGGTAGTTTTTTTGTTTTTGTTTTTTTGCGGTACGCGGGCCTCTCACTGTTGTGGCCTCTCCCGTTGTGGAGCACAGGCTCCAGACACGCAGGCTCAGCGGCCATGGCTCACGGGCCCAGCCGCTCCGCGGCATGTGGGATCTTCCTGGACCGGGAAACGAACCTGCCTCCCCTGCATCGGCAGGCGGACTCCCAACCACTGTGCCACCAGGGAAGCCCCAAAAGGTAGTTTTTTAAACTGGAAGAGTTATCAGAACGTTTGATATGCTGACATGTATTGTGAATATCCCAAGTGTAGCATTTTTGCAAGGACCTTCTTATGGAACTCATAGTATCTCATGGACCTGACTTTGGGGAACGCTGTCACAGGTGAAGGGGAGCCATGGAAGAATTTCAAATAAGGAAGTGACATGGCCAACTCTGGCAGATCTGTGCAGGATAGAACTGGCCTGTGGATGAACAGGATTTATCCAAGATTAACAAGAAGACTATTGTCATAGTCCTGATGCTAGATAATGAGAGACCGAACTGGGCAGAGGCAGAAGAGACAGAGAACAGGATGATATATATGGGTGATAGAAAATAAAATCGATGGGACCTGGTGGCTGATTTATGTGAGGATGTGAAAGGTAAGAAAGGAGGAGGAATCTACGCTAACTTCCAATTTTACAACGAGGGAAATGGCGTCGATAGTGATGCTGCAAGCAAGATAGGGAATATAGGGGGCTTCCCTGGTGGCGCAGTGGTTGAGAGTCCGCCTGCCGATGCAGGGGACACGGGTTCGAGCCCCGGTCTGGGAAGATCCCACATGCCGCGGAGCGGCTGGGTGCGTGAGCCATGGCCGCTGAGCCTGCGCGTCCGGAGCCTGTGCTCCGCAACGGGAGAGGCCACAACAGTGAGAGGTCTGCGTACCGCAAAAAAAAAAAAAAGATAGGGAATATAGGAAGTGAAACAGGTCTGGGGGAGCCGATACATTTCACTTTGAATACGTGGCATTTGAAGTTCCCGTGGCGTCTCCAAGTGATACCAAATAGGCAGCTGGCTTGGTGAGTCTGAGGTTCAGGAACTGAGCTGAAAGCATTGCTTTGTTAACCAGTAGGTTAGCATGGAGGTGGTAGTTGAAGCCATGGGCATGAATGAAATCGAGAAAGTGTGTCTATGAGGAGCAATTGTTGGAGACCAAGGACAAGGCGCTGGCTGGGCAGAGGCAAAGGCGCCAGGGAGAAGGCAGAGAGGAGCCTTCAGGGTGGGAAAGAGAGCAATATTACAGAACCTAGGAGACTAGAGAGTTTCCAAATGCTGTTTGTGTTTTTAATGCTTTGTTTCCTCTTAGCAGCACATTTTCTGTCTGGCTCAGGCGAATATGAAAATGAGCTCTCGTTCCGAAGTACACAGTGACAGACTGTTAGAGAAGGTGTCCCAGAACCACATCGCAGGAAAGAAAATCTAGCCTAGGATTTCAAAAACTGGTCGTAAACCATTCATGAGTTGGATAGTTTACATCCGACAAATCAAAGCCGACTTTGGTTTTGTTACTGGTAAAGAAGAGGAGAGGGGCTTTCCTGGTGGCGCAGTGGTTGGGAGTCCGCCTGCCGATGTAGGGGACGCGGGTTCGTGCCCCGGTCCGGGAAGATCCCACATGCCGTGGAGCGGCTGGGCCCGTGAACCATGGCCGCTGAGCCTGCGTGTCCGGAGCCTGTGCTCCACAACGGGAGAGGCCACAACAGTGAGAGGCCCACGTACCACAAAAAAAAAAAAAAGAAAAGAAAAAAAAAGAAAAGGAGAGACTTGCTCTACCTGACTCCCCACTCTGTCAAGTCCTTTTAGGCCAAGGAAACAGCTGCCTTACCAGATAAGATTTGGGGAGCAGGGGCAAGAGGTGGTTAGCAAAGCTCTGTCCCTCAGATTCCCTGCTTTCTGAAATGCCCCCCATCTATTCTCTTCTGCTCTCTTTCTTCCTTCCCCGTCCCCCTCTCCCCTCTCCTTTCTGTGCATCCGTAGAACAGGCCCCGAGCCCTGATTATGTACCAGGCACTGTGTTCGGTGTTGGGTTCCAAGGAACTTTCAATCCTGGGGGAACTCAGAGATGTAAATAAATAACTATACCTGAAAGTGCTAAGTGCTCTGATAGTCCAGGATTCCGAGAGAACAAGGGAAGGGAAGGACTGTTTTTACCCGCGGAGGGGGATCGGGGACGCCTTCCCAGAGAAGGCGCCATTGAGCTAACCATGAGGAATCCCCTGTTCAGATGCAGCAGCTCCTCCACGAGGAAGTAACCACACTCCCTTGGCATAAGTGACTTCCTGTCATCGCTGACTGTCACCTACGGAGGAGAGGGCTGGGGGTCTTGGGCTGGCCAGCAGCCGTTCTCGCAGAGAGCAAGGGGAGACGAACCTTATCTAGTTCACGGGCTTTCCTAGGTCTGGGCCTCTTCTCCATTCATCTAATTATGGGCTGCATTTCCTTGTTTTCCTTCTTCATTTCCGATAAAAGTGAGGCTTAGCCAGGTGTTAGGTAATTCTCTTGTAAGTTTTTTCTTTGCATCTAATCACAGTCTATTCCCTGATTCTTGGTATGTTTAAAGACTATTTTCTTTGCATCTTTTTTTTTCCTTTATTTATTTTTGGCTGCTTTGTGTCTTCGTTGCTGCACGCGGGCTTTCTCTAGTTGCGGCGAGCAGGGGCTACTCTTCATTGCAGTGCGCGGGTTTCTCATTGCGGTGGCTTCTCTTGTTGCGGAGCATGGGCTCTAGGCCCGCGGGCTTCAGTAGTTGTGGCATGTGGACTCAGTAGTTGTGGCTCATGGGCTGTAGAGCACAGGCTCAGTAGTTGTGGCGCACGGGCTTAGTTGCTTCACGGCATGTGGGATCTTCCCGGACCAGGGCTCGAACCTGTGTCCCCTGCATTGGCAGGCAGATTCTTAACCACTGTGCCACCAGGGAAGCCCTCTTTGCATGTTTTAAGTCTATCTTTTATACCCTTATTAGCTTCCTTACTTTGTCTCCACCAACTCTTGCTATTTTTCTATCTATTTACCTTCTCATTTGTGTTCCAGCAACTACTCTCAGAAACAGTACAACTTAGGACTCTTAATTAGGTTTCCTTCTACCTCACCCACCTTTCTTTTTTTTAAAAAAAAAAAAATTTATTTATTTGGTTGCATCAGGTCTTAGTTGCGAACTCTTAGTTGCGGCACGCACGTGGGATCTAGTTCCCTGACCGGGGATCATCACCCACCTTTCTTAAGCATAATTGTTTATAGCTTCTTCTGGCCTCTTGGTTTTCCCCCTGGATTTGGTCCTTTTCAGTCAGGACTGAAATATTAATTTTTAAAAAAATGTGGATGAATCCTCTTTCCTTTCTTGCAATATTGAGTATTGTCAGCTCTCACAAAGCCCTTTCCTATTCATTTTTCTTATTTCTTCCCTAAAAGTTGCATGGTACGTGGTGCATGGGAGAAGGGAGGAGAGATTGAGGGGGGTGTTAAGGAGAGTCCCTGTAAATCTTGAGCTCTGCTTGGCACTCCGGTGAGCACCTGCCCTGGAAGCTTTCTCTTCTGTAACTTTTCTTGCAGAAATTTTTCAAATCCCTGTGGATACCAGACAACTGTGAATCCCACCCAACCTTGCTTTCTAAGGGATGGAAAGGGCACGACCACCTGACCCTCAGGTTTCGTGGGTTAAACCCCCTCCTTTCCCATCCTCTCTGTATCTTGTTGAACCACATCCCTGGCCTGCAGAAAACTGCTAGCATGAGCAGGTATATGGTTTAGAGCATAGCGCAGTCTAAGAGATCATCACTTCCCAGTTCTGCTCCCCCTGTCATTGAAGTTTCAGCAAAAGCTCCTTGGGTCCACGGGGTGGGAGCGCGGGAGAGAGCCTCGCACTTTTGTCTGCACCTGACCCTACTTCCTGGCCCCTACAGGAGTGCTGTTTAGCATCGAGGTCACCTCTACCTACTTCGCCGTGAGGAACTACTGGCGAGGATTCTTTGCAGCCACGTTCAGCGCCTTTGTTTTCCGAGTGCTAGCCGTGTGGAACAAGGATGCTGGTAACAGGGGAGCCCTGGGGTGGAGGCGGTGTGAAATAGGGAGGCTGGTAATGGGGCATGGAGGGAAGTTCTGTGGGACAGTGCAGAAAAAGAGTGGATGGCATCATCTGGGAAGTGAGACCAAGGCCCAAGGGTATATATAGGGCAAGGATACAGGTCATGGAATAGGGGAGAGTATCTCAGCCAGGAGTGTTAGAAAAAGGAAATCAAATAGAAGAGGAGACATTGGGATGGGAGGAAGCTTTAATCCTTAAAACCTGTGACCCTGGTTCCTTCTCGGTGCGTTTCTGTGATGCTCCCACCATAATCCTTGGCCTTTCCATCCTATAGTCACCATCACAGCTCTCTTCAGAACCAATTTCCGAATGGATTTCCCCTTTGACCTGCAGGAGCTCCCAGCCTTTGCAGCCATCGGGTCAGTGGGTTTGTCTGCTCGGAGGACAGTCGGGAGCCAGGGCTGGGGCGTGGCTTTGCACTGGAAGGGACCCAAGTTGGGAAGGTGGGGTTGGTGTGGGTGAAGTGTACATTGTTGGGGGGAGGTGGGTAGAAAGGGAAGGTGTGTGCCTGGTATTTGTTTCCCTGCGGTAGCCAGGTCCGAGGGATGACGGTATCATTTCTGCATAACTTACACCCTCAGGATTTGCTGTGGTTTCCTGGGAGCTGTATTTGTGTACCTGCATCGCCAAGTCATGCTTGGTGTCCGAAAGCACAAGGCCCTCAGCCAGTTTCTGGCGAAGCAGTGAGTCACCGCCCGTCTTCTGCCCTACCTGTTTACCTTGTGGTTTCTCCAAGAGTTCCTCCCTTTTAATCTTTGTGGAAGGCGTTAAATGCCTTTAGGTGGCTTGTGATAAAATATAGAAGCCCTGATACTGTACAAGGACGAATGGTGTAGTTTCCCCTTTAAAGATTGCTTGTTGGTGGAGAGAATTCTCTGTCTAATGGCCTGAGACTACAGTAGACTCCAGTTTTACTGTAGTAGACGACAGTATAACTTTGGCTTACCAGAGTCCAGAGAGCTGTCCACTATGGCCTGACTAAATTAGGGTGAGGATTAATTGTTTCTTTTTCAGCCGCCTGCTCTATCCTGGAATTGTTACCTTTGTCATCGCCTCCTTCACCTTCCCACCAGGAATGGGACAATTCATGGCTGGAGAGGTCAGCTCCAAGGGTGACCTCTGAGGGTGGGAGTCAGGTCACTGAGCACATGACTGGGACAAAGCCAGGACGGGACCACATGGAAAGGAGGAAAGAGCACAGGTGTCCCTCAGGCTTCTGAGCATATATGCTTTTGCCCAAGGATAGACTCTCTCCCTGAGAAAAAAGCAAAAGGGTCCCGTGAAAAATGAAACTGCGGAATTGGTTCTCTTAAAAAAATGGAAGTACCGAACATCCCTGGAGAACTGCTCCCTTTTGCTTCCTCCTCTCACAGTTGATGCCTCGCGAAGCCATCAGTACCCTGTTTGACAACAACACGTGGGTAAAGCATGAAGGGGACCCTGAAAGCCTGGGCCAGTCAGCTGTGTGGATCCACCCAAAAGTCAATGTCGTCATCATCATCATCCTCTTCTTCATCATGAAGGTACCTCTCCCTACATTCCTGGCTCCCTGGGCTTCTGTTTTCAACCTAGGAACCGGGGTGTGCATAGGGTAGGGAACGGTAAAACTTCATTTGGTCTTCGTCCAACCTAATAAAAAAAAAACAGTTTGGAAACCAGAACGTAAGTAAGTTGCTCATCTAGAGAAGTGAACCAATATCTGGGTTAATGTTCCATTCATGTCAGCTTAGTGATGTTGCCATAATTATTATAACCTTCTAAAGGTTCCGCTTGCTAAATTATTGAGACAGCAGCCAAGTAAGTAAGGACAAGAGCTTAGCAATACAGAGCTTAGCAATACAGATAACTGTGTGAAGACCTCAGATAAATTAACCAAATCCCCCCACATGGTAGATAATTAGGTACTTCATTCTCCATGCATCTGATTATCCATTTTCAGATGATTTGCATATCCATTTTTTCCCCAGTCTAGTGGATGATCTCTTTTCTAGAATTACAAAAGGGATAAAATATTTAAATCCACTTTATTAGTGACTATAAATAATTTTTATAAATGTTATCATTCTCTATTTAGGTAGTGAGGCTGTGAGGATTTTGCCATTCTTAAACCATTTTCTTCTAACTTCAATTAGGAAACAAAAGCTGATCTCTTTTATAACAGTTCTTTTTCATATTTGCCCATTAAGGATCACGTGTTTATAGACTTCTCAATTACTGCCTTATACAAGTATATTTTTATTTCCATCACTGGTTGTGACATCTGTTATAATTGCTGATTGCCTTTTTTTCTCTTTTTTGATGATTGCCTGATTATTCATAGTATGTCTTGCTTCAATAACCCAACATTTTCCTCTATATATTAGGGCCTTCATTTGAAAGTCTGTCCACATTAATCTTTCATGGTTTTTCGTACCTTGCTATTAACTTATTCTTGATATTTATTGTGAATCTATATTTCCCCAGGATATGAGTCACTAAGTTATATTTATATTGTAATAGCTGTAGTGGGTTCACTTATTCAATAAATGTTCTCATGTACCTACTGTGGGCCAAATATGTAATAGTTGATTATTGATCTTTGGTGAATCTAACGCTTATGGTTGAAAAAAATTATTTTAAAATTTCCTTCATGGTTTTTTGCTGCTCATTTAATGTGCCTGTCAATGGTCTTATCCTTAGAGATACCAGGTGCTTGACATACAGGTTCCAATTCTGTCACTTACGTTCTCAGGATTTGCTGTGGGGTTTCTGGAGGCTGTATTTACGTATGTTCTTTTTCATTCCATTCCAGGGGGATTAATTGGGTCTGTGGCTTCCATATTTTGCACACCCACTTTATTCATTAGATCATTTTCATTTCTTCCTTCAAAAGATTTGATATTTTTATCATAAAGAAGTTCTCAGTGTCTTGTTAGGGGTCTGATTTTGGGACTTTCGTTATAGAGCTTCTCGTCTCTAATTTATAAACCCCGGCTTCCTGTAACTGGTTGTTGAGCGTACAAACCCATCTGCAGTAACCAAGTCCAAGTTTTGATGGCATCTCAGAATTTCTTGTTCAATGATAACAATGGTGTTTTTCTGATACTCCTCTAGACTGAGCTGTATGGTTACTTTGGGATCATATATACTTTTGAAATGTTAAGCGTTTGAAAATTTTTGGAGAAACAAAATTCTGTATGTATTTTCAACATTTCCTTCCCACCTGACCTCATTTCCTCAGATTCCCAAGTATATCTCTGGATTTCACCGTACAGATTAAAATTTATTCTGAGAAACCTACTTGGATTGTATAGCAGGACTCAACTCTATGTCATTCTTATTAATTTCTCACTGAATCACATCCTCCACACTGTCTACATAATAAGTGAATCGAGAAGAAACTCACATTTCTTGGGCTGTATTTCAAGCCCAACAGATTGAAGCAGGCCTATGCTATTCTATAATATTTTAAATGTGAAACCATTCACTGCTATAAATCCATGATATTACCTAGTAATCACTGCTTCCAGCATTTTCACTGTCTTCTCATTGGACGCATAACCATACCCTTGTTATTTCCAAAGTGTGGACAATAGGGTGCGTAGGCACATTAAAACATACAAGTGACTTAGAACTATTTGTCCACAGTTTGATTTGAAATTTAGCTTATGTGGTCTTCTGGCAGTCTCAGTGCTCACAGATAAGATTCTCAGTTCAGCTCTTTATAACATTGATGAAGGGAACTTCCATCTTCTCAATTTTAAGACATGGAAGGCATCACCATGTTGTAACTCTGGAGTGTTTCTAATGAGTATGAATATAATTACAACATCTCAGTTTCCTTTTTAATAAGTCTAACATTATTACCTAGATCCCTGAGTTCTCAGTACTGCCTGAGGCTCTGTAGCATTCTTGCCTAATCTTCCTATGGTTCCTTCCTGTGAAGGGTTTAAATAAAGTAGAATCTGTGATAAGGGGTCTCTAGTTTCCCAGTTCTCTAGAACTGGCTGTCTAAAATCTTGGGAATTATTGGTATTCCAGATCACTTACCCTGCTTCTGGATCTTCCCTTTCATGTGCTAACAGCTCAAAAAGAATGCTAGTCTCGGGTCATTCTCTGTGCTATAGGAGTTGATAACTTCAGTGTCCCCTGATCCTGTTGCTATTCTTACACTTATCTTGGAGGATAATCTGAAGTTCATCCTCTGAAATCAGACCAGTCAGCCACCTATTATCTTTATTACTGGAGCTTTCAGATTAACCTGAGCCTACAAAAACCCTATGGCTTTCATGTACTTATTCCTAAGAGACAGTACAGAATCGTTCAAGGGGTCTCAAAATGTTGTATGTCAGGATCACTTAAGAAACGCCTCCAAGCGCCTAGAACTCTGTCTCCAGACAGTCTGATGGGGTAGCTGCCAGTGGTGTCTGGTCATCCGCAGTTTAAACAAGTTCCCCTGAAAGCATTACTGTTGGATGTTTTAAGCAAATATTAGCTCTACATGTTTCTGCTTTGCATGAATACTGTTTGACCAAACTCTCTTCTTTCCTTCCCTCCTTCCTTCCTTCCTACCTACTTACTTAACTTACCTACCTACATCCTGCCTGCATTTACTGAGCACTGTGCCAGTGCTGAGAGAAGGCAAACACAACAAGATACACTGTTGTTACACACTCGAAGAATTTGCAATCTGTATCCTCTTCAATTGTACGTTTAAATTTGCTGCTCTCCACTGTTTTAAACAGTCCTATTCTGAAATGGAGACATATGTATTTTGCCTCTTCTCAGAGATTGTCTCTTGAGGACAGCCCTGGCTCAAAAGACGCTCTCTCTAAGGTTCAGAAAATTAGGAAACTTATTTCTCATTAGTTTACAATAAAGTTCGTGCAGTGTTTAAATTGTAAATATTTTGAGCCTGGGAATTTTTTTTTGACCTTTAGCTGTTGTCCTCTTTCACCAAATTAGTTTGAGATCATTTTCTAAGATCGGTTTACTTATTTGGGAAATGATATGTAAACCTGTTGCTTAATTTTCATATCATGTCTCATATGTTTATTTCTTTTACAGATATTTCAAAAGGTCAACCACTCCTCCTTTTTCCATTCGGTTTCTCAGTTCCTTTGCGTTCTTTGCTGCAGAATGTACACATTGCTTTTGCTCAAATCATCCCAATTCCTGTTGGAATACTACCTTGGCCTTGGAGGTCCTTTCTATCACGCTGGCTGGTTTAGCTGGCTCTCTCAATGGGCTCTTGCAGGTTGGTCAGGACAGATCTGATTTTCTGATCCTTTGTTGAAGGTGATTTGATGTTAAAGGAAATGGCTCAGGCAGGACTCTCTTCACTCCGGGTTCCCTTGTGAGGCTTGCCATATAGATGGCTTTGTAAATAAATGATCGTAGTGAAGCTAAAGCAATCATGCAGTAAGTCACTATGACTTTAAGGTGTCTGTCACTTAGAGCTGGGGCTTTTTTTTCAGAAACAGTCTGGCCAGGAAAAGGTATCCTCCACGTTCAAGAGCTCAGGCTGCTTAGCTGAGGTGACCTTTGTGGGCTAAGAGGATACAGTAGGCTAGGGCCCTTTTGGGGGCAGTGACAGAGGAGTCCTCTGGGGCCTCACTCCTTGTTTTTATTGCCTAAAGGCAAATATTATCACTCCAGGTAGGAACAATTTGGGTTGAACCTTCTTATAGTGTTGTCTTTGGTGAGCTCTTAGCCTGAGTGCCCCATGTGGTTTTGGTTCTGGAGGAAGGGTGACAGACAGGATGGCTTCCAGAAGGATTAGCTATCCCAGGATGTCTGTAACTCTTGAAGCAAGAAGGAGGAGGATAGTGGGAAGGAGGTTGAGAGTGTGTGTGTGTGTGTGTGTGTGTGTGTGTGTGTGTGTGTATTGGGCAGAGTTGAGAGGGTGTCCTGACGCCTCTTTTTACCCCAGTTCTGGATGTCCATCGTGGCCACCACTATGCCCATACCCTGCGGAGGCTTCATGCCTGTGTTTGTGCTCGGTAAGTTCTGATGGGAAGCCTGGGATCTTACTGATGGCTGCAATCTAGTGTACTGAGAAAATAAGGAAAGGCCTGGAAGGCTGGGGGTTTGTATTTAGTCTTAACGCCCAAGGAGGTATGGCTCTGAAAAAAGAGGATAAAGACCTTGAATCTCTTAACACCTTCCTTCCTTTTGTCTCTCCCTAGGAGCTGCATTTGGAAGGCTGGTAGGAGAGATCATGGCCATTCTTTTCCCAGATGGTATCTTATTTGATGACATCATCTACAAGATCCTACCTGGGGGCTATGCAGTAATTGGTGAGACACATTCCACCCTCCTGTCACCCCAAATACCCACACTCGAACTCCCCCATGATATCTGTATTCCAGGCTACACAATATGGTTTTAATTTAATGTTGTTTAATTCAACTTTTATTCACATAAGCAACCCTTGGCTCTGACTCTCATTAGCTCTTATTAAACATCTCTGAGCCTTAGTTTTTTGGTTTTTTTGCTTTTTTTTTTTTTTTCCAGTACGCGGGTCTCTCACTGTTGTGGCCTCTCCCGTTGCGGAGCACAGGCTCCGGACGCGCAGGCTCAGCGGCCATGGCTCACGGGCCCAGCCGCTCCGCGGCATGTGGGATCTTCCCGGACCGGGGCACGAACCCGCGTCCCCCGCATCGGCAGGTGGACTCCCAACCACTGCGCCACCAGGGAAGCCCGAGAGCCTTAGTTTCTTCATGTAGAAAAGGGCTTATGGGGAATAAATGAGATAACAAGGATGAGAGCACCTAGGACCACCTCTGAATGCTTGGTAAGGGTTTTTTTTTTTTTTCCAAAGAATCGTGGAAACAACAGTGCAGGTGACTGGCTTGAATACTCTTAACCTGCAGATGTGCTCTTGTTAATGGGACTTAAGAGCACATGACTAAGAGCTAAGAAACATGGGCTCTGGACTCATCCCTGTCTTTTGTCACTGGATAACCATGGGGCAAGTTAGTGGCCTTTCTGCACCTTAGTTTCTTTATTCTAAAATGACTTCTGAGGTGTCTTACAGCCCTAACATTTTGAGAGTCTGAGATAATCTTTTTCCGTTAAATCTATAGTCCCTTCCAACCAAAAGCCATGTCTAACAAAATGACCAGTGTATGCCCCAGAATTATTATGCTTCCTCCCTCCCTCCCCTCCTCACTGAAATCCCGTAACATCTACGGCCATGCCTCCCTTTGATTTAGAACTAACCAGCTTTATAGTGCATACAGGGACCTTACTCCCCCGTCATAGTTCTTTACAAAAACCTCCTTCATCAATAAGAGTCATCTGCTCTTATTCCCCATCTTCATGCCTCTCAGGTATCCCCCCAATCTCCCTGGTGGACCTTTGCCAGTATAGCTCCTGTGTTAGTTTATGTTCTGAAGGATACTGGGTATACCATCCAGGAGAATCATTCCTCCCAATATTTCCCTTTTGTGACTTTTTCTTGTTCCATTTTGATGTATGGCTTCCCCAGCATCTTTTCTCATAGAATATCTTCCCATGTTTATTTTTTTATTTTATTTTATTTTTTTTGCGGTACACGGGGCTCTCACTGTTGTGGCCTCTCCCGTTGCGGAGCACAGGCTCCGGACGCGCAGGCTCAGCGGCCATGGCTCACGGGCCCAGCCGCTCCGCTGCATGTGGGATCTTCCCGGACCGGGGCACGAACCCGTGTCCCCTGCATCGGCAGGCGGACTCTCAACCACTGTGCCGCTAGGGAAGCCCTCTTCCCATATTTAAATAACAAATATAGTTAATGCACTAGGGACTATTTTGGTTGGTGGGAAAACGTAACCAAAAACAAGTAAGACAGATTCTATTGTCTAAGAGCTTATGGAATCATAATGATTTAGATCTGCAAGGGCCTTAGAACTTATCTAATGACGCCTTTCACCTTAGAGATGAGAGCATAGGATTCCAGAAGAATTAAGTTCTATTCATACAGTTGAGAAACAGTAGAATCAGGATCTCATTGATCCACGTCTACAGCATGATTCCTGAATTTTGACTCTATCCACTCATAAATTGTTGGCATCAAAACCTGAGGTCTGGGCTTCCCTGGTGGTGCAGTGGTTAAGAACCTGCCTGCCAACGCAGGGGACACGGGTTCGACCCCTGGTCCGGGAAGATCCCACGTGCCGCAGAGCAACTAAGCCCGCCGCGTGCCACAGCTACTGAAGCCTGTGCGCCTAGAGCCCATGCTCCGCAACAAGAGAAGCCACCGCAGTGAGAAGCCCGCGAACCACAACGAAGAGTAGCCCTCTCTCGCCACAACTAGAGAAAGCCCGCGCAGCAACAAAGGCCCAACGTAGCCAAAATAAATAAATAAACTTATAAACAAAACAGAACAAAACCTGAGGTCCAAGGGAAAACACTGTAAATGGGTTTTTAAATGCTCAGTTAAGAGTGATCCAAACTTTTCAAAGCAAGGAATAGATGCCACATCACCATCTTTATTTTATAAATGAAACTTCGGCCACACACAAAATTTTTGTAAATTGCCGAAGGTCATAGAATGAGATCAAAACGACGAGTTTCTAACAGTTCAGCATTCTAACCCTTTACTCCTGACAAATGGTTATCTCAGGAGTGTTGGCACTGCCCAGGATCATGTGTCCCCACCCTGTGTCACTCCCGTCGCATCCCCATGTAGCCCCCATGACAAGAAAGGCAGCCCTAACCCACCGGTACGCTCCTGTGTCTCATTCTAGGAGCAGCAGCGCTGACTGGTGCAGTATCCCACACAGTCTCCACAGCCGTGATTTGCTTCGAACTAACGGGTCAGATCGCTCACATCCTACCCATGATGGTGGCTGTTATCTTGGCCAACATGGTGGCTCAGAGCCTGCAGCCCTCCCTTTATGACAGCATCATCCAGGTCAAGAAGCTACCCTACTTGCCTGACCTTGGTTGGAACCAGCTCAGGTCAGAGGCACCAGCTGGAATTAGTTCAGATTTGATGGGGTTGGTGTGGGAGGTTCTGAGATTGAGCATGAGGTTAAGGTCAACGTCTGGAAGCACTGCTTTTTACTTATTTTTACATTCCCACGCACTTCATAAATATTATGAGTGATCAAATGCATGGCAGACCTGACGGGAGGAGTGGAAGGGACAGGCATGGGGTAAGGCTAACCCTGCCTGTGCTTTCTCCCTCTGCAGCAAATTTACAGTCTTTGTTGAGGACATCATGGTACGGGACGTGAAGTTTGTTTCAGCTTCTTGCACTTATGGGGAGTTGCGAAACTTGCTCCAGACCACCACAGTCAAGACTTTACCACTGGTCGATTCAAAAGGTCAGTGGGAGGGAAGGAAGCAGATTCCTGAGCTAGTGACCTGAACAAGGGCTCCACAGAAGTGGAGGCAGCACTGTGGTGTGGGCTTGTCTAAGGGGCCACCCAGGCTGCTGCAGAACGCTCAGCCTTAGGGAACATGGTCATCTTCAAGGAAGGAAAAACACAGCCATAACACAGCACAAGAAGACAGTTAAAAAAGCCAATGAAAGAAATACAGTTGATTCTCATTAGTCCTTGTAGTTATGTTCTATGAAGTTTCCAAGAACACTGAATTAGGGACACTATACTGAACCATTGCTCCTAGAGGAAATTGAGGGTGAGGTTCCTGCAAGCCTCTGGTCACAACACTTTCTTCAAGTAATCAAAGCATACACTTGTCTTAGGTGTGTTTCTCCTTAAAGACACCTTATTTAATTCATCAGCATTGAACTCACCATGACCAACAGAAGGTTAGCTCATGGCTGAACAAAGCTTTTATCTAACACACTTCTTTTCTCCATAAGGCACAGCACAGCCTTCCTGCTTAGGGCTATTTTAAACAGCCAAATTGGGCTTCCCTGGTGGCGCAGTCATTAAGAATCTGCCTGCCAATGCAGGAGACACGGGTTCGAGCCCTGGTCCGGGAAGATCCCACATGCCGCTGAGCAACAAAGCCCGTGTGCCCCAACTACTGAGCCTGTACTCTAGAGCCCATGTGCCACAACTACTGAGCCTGCACTCTAGAGCCCATGCTCTGCAACACCACAATGAGAAGCCTGCGTACCGCAACGAAGACCCAATGCAGCCAAAAATAAATAAATAAAATAAATAAATTTAAAAAACAAAAACCCTTAAAAAACAGCAAAATCCCCAACACAAAAAATGCAAAAAACATGGCATTCAATGGACCACGAAAGAACATTTTTTACAATATGAAAGCTGGAAAAAAAAAGGGCAGAGCATCACTTTGTTCAGACTCAGCTTGGAATGTGTGCGTGGGGTAACTCAAATTTTTGCTGCTCTGCACATGTCTATGAATGATGGGAAAAGTACTGCAAATATTGATTTTGGGTTACAAAGATATTTAAGCCCGTAGGTGAATTCACAAATAGGGAATCCGAGAATAATGAGGCTTGGCTAGAAATCTTACGGCCCCTTATGTGGTTCTCATTGCTACCTAGCTAAGTGATAGCTGTTCTTTAATGCCCAATTTGAGGAGCAGATGTTCCATATGAAGGAGTGAACGTGTTTAATGAGCAGTGATTTCACCTCCTTCACCATCCTTTCTGCCCACCTTTGGCACTTAATCTTGCTTTGTATTATTTCTTATTGTGGTTTCTATATCTGTGTCTTATCTTCCTCAGTAGATTGTGTATCCCTTGAGGGCAGAGACTATAACACCTGTCTCACTCAGACTGTCTCCTTATAGGTATTTACTGGATATTAAATAAATACGTGTCTAATGATTGTATTAGTGTAATAGAATCATTTAGGGATATTTGGAGCCATTTAACTTGTTAGCTCTAAGTTCAGATCATCAGAGTATCCAAACTACTCAAATTAGCTTAGTTTTAATATTTTCCCAATTCCCAAACACCTTTCAGTGGCCTCTAACGCAGTGGTTTCTCACTGGAATAGGGGTACAGCCGACGGGCTGCAGGGTTTTCATAATAATGACTAAGACCTCATGGTAAGATTTGTCTCAGTAACACTGCTGCGATCTTATGGCCTCAAAACTTAATGAAAATGTTAATTATAGTAGCAGAATTCTGATAAATACATAAAAGACCTTCCCAGGAAAAGTAGGCATTCTGTTTATACCTACAAGGACCCAGAGTCTTTAAGTGATTAAACATCAGATATCCTTGTAGACTTCTTTCAAAGTATATTCGTTCATCTCAGTATGAATGGCTTTTAATGTGTCTTCTTTTGGAGACAGTATTGATTAGCCTATTTTAATACCAGGTTCACCTATTTACAAACAATCTATGTAAGGGCTGCATCAAAATAAGTACAAATTAGCACCAATTAGTGTACTACCAGTTGGGGCTCTAAGTGCTAAATGGGTGAAATAATAGGGATTGAGTGAGATCAATCCTGGAAGACTTTTGAAATGAGTTTTTAGGAAGAGAGGGTAAGAGCTGAAAAAAGATTGGTGCTGGGCTTCTGTCCCTGACTCCATCCTGCCGAGCAGGGTGGGGGTGGAGGGTAATTGAGCGGGCCCTCAGGCTGAGCTTGGATCTCCCCCAGATTCGATGATCCTGCTGGGCTCCGTGGAGCGTTCAGAACTGCAGTCCCTTCTGCAGCATCACCTGTGTCCTGAACGGAGGCTGCAGTTAGCCCAGGACATGGCAAGGAAGTTGTCAGAGCTGCCCTTCGACGGGAAGGTGCGGCAGGCTGGGGAGGGGCGCCGTGGCGTCCAGGGTCGACCTGAGTCTTTTGCCTTTGTGGATGAGGATGAAGATGAGGACCTCTGTGGGAAGCCCGAGGTGAGTGGGCTGGGAGGGGCCGGGTGAACAGGATAGATGGGGCAAAGGGAAAATAGGAAGAGAGAGGGAAGATGCTGATTATTGACAAAGTCAAAGAGACAAGTGCCCCTGGGTCCAGGGACTGAAGGAGATAAGTTTGCAACTGATGGTACCGTGAGAATTCAAAGTGCTATAAGGACTTCTGAACTAGAGGTTCATAGAGGTAGATGGGTTTCCCAGGACACCACCTGGTAAAGACAGGAAAAGGTAGCCTCTTCTCTGGGACTGAGAACTTTTTCTATTCTTTACAGCTGCCTCCTCTTCCTCCTCCTCACTCCTTTCCTACTGCTCCACTGCCCCCCGAAGAGCCCAACGGGCCCCTGCCCGGCCACAAACAGCAGTTGGAAGCACCGGAGCTTGAAGGTAAAGATTCTCCCATCATGCACCTCACCCTTGAGACTGCAGGTAAAGATTCTCCCATCATGCACCTCACCCTTGAGACTGCAGGTAAAGATTCTCCCATCATGCACCTCACCCTTGCCTCATGCCTTGTGGTTCTGTCTGGGCACTCCTCAACCTAACGGCTCCTACTATGAGGAGGGGTGAGGCCTGAGGATGGTGGGAGGGGGTTTCTATTCTTCGAGTCTCCATGTTACCATCCCAAGGCATGGGGGCAAGGGCTGGATTAGGAGGATGGAAGGGGAGAGTTCCTGTGGAGGTGAAGCACCTAGAAGTATGGACCTTTTGTGGTGAAGTGTCAGGACCACTTGAAGCCCCTGACCATTTCCTCCCAGGATGGATATTGCTTTCTTTCCATTTCCATTCATTCACCACTCCTCTCAGGTCAAAGACCCTCCATCTTTCAGTCCCTGCTGCGCTGCTTGCTGGGCAGAGCTCGCCCCACAAAGAAAATGACCCAGGTGAGAGGAGATGTGTTGGGGGCGGGGGACATGGGACAGGGAGCTTGTCTTTGAGGAGCAAGAAACCCATGATTCTTAAATCAGGAGAGAAGAGGTCCCACCAAGAAGAAGCTTCATCACATGGAAGGGATGATGGGTTGGAAAGAGGCATCTGTGGCTTGGCCAGGGAGAGATGGCTGTGGTTCCACTTGGAAGAAAAGGGAAGGAACTTGGACCTATGTCTTTCTTCTCTAGGATTCAGAGGATTTAGTGGATAACATGTCACCTGAAGAGGTAAGTAAAGGAAACAGGAACCTGGGGTGGGTTGTTTTGTCACATGAACATATTGCTCACTTTTTTCGACCTTCTTCATTGTGTTGTTGTAAGAGTAACATGTGAGTCTAGGCAGGAAAGCGTTCTGAGAGGTTGGAAATGAGGTGTGACCATGGAGACAGTACTGAGCACGTTGCTCGGAGGTAGGGGAACATGGCGGTGTGCTCATGGGGACCGGCGTCATTTCAGGAGAGGGAAGTTTTGAGCCTCTGTGTGTAGATGCGCCCGTGGTGCTAGGATGACCCTTAGAGCTTTTAGACATTAGGGAAGTTCTAGACCAGGCAGAGGCTATGCGGGATGGGTGAGATTTACCTGCAGGAAAATGGCACCTGGCTGCCAGCACTTATGCAAACCAATGTGGACTAAGATGGGGCATTCAGTGTCTGGTGAGGTTACTCTGCTGGATTGACCAGGGTCCTGAGACAGTGGACAATGAGAAGATTCCAGGAAGCGAGACTGGGAAGAACCACAAACTGAGGGCAGATTCTGACAGTGTCGCCTCATTGGGACAAACCACTATCCCCTATAGAATCCATGAGAGGGAAAATCAAGTACTGAGTGGGTTTGGTTGTGCCGAGTGAACAGAACGTGGCACAGTGAGTGGGAGCAGGTGGCTGAGCTGTGCCCATCAGAACTACCCCGGCGTGTGGAGAGACACTGACAGCATCCATTAGCAACTATTCCACTTAGTAAAGGAATGCAGCTTGCTTCGAAGGCTGAAAGGTAGAGCTTTAAAAGTATGTAGCTGAGCTTCCCTGGTGGCGCAGTGGTTGAGAGTCCGCCTGCCGATGCAGGGGACACGGGTTCGTGCCCCGGTCCGGGAAGATCCCACATGCCGCGGAGCGGCTGGGCCCGTGAGCCATGGCCGCTGAGCCTGTGCTCCGCAGCGGGAGAGGCCACAACAGTGAGAGGCCCGCGTACCGCAAAAAAGAAAAAGAAAAAAAGTATGTAGCTGACAAAATACCATAATGTGTATTATCTTTAAATAAACATCCACTGGATATCCAGAATATATATGTGCTAAGAATTAAAAGTACTCAGGGTTGGAGGAGGGGGTGGTGAGTGACAAGAGAGAAAGGTAGTCTTCCCCTTCTCCCCTTGACACCCCTCGAGACACACACATTTCTGATAAATGACCTAAAAAATCAAATGGATGATCACAGAAGAAAAAACTCGAACTATTCCTTCTGCCCACAAGCAGGAATCAGATAGGCCATAACTACAATTAAGGAGTGCCTTACTAGGGTGCTCAAACCAATAATACTTTTTTTTTTTTTTTTTTGCGGTACGCGGGCCTCTCACTGCTGTGGCCTCTTCCGTTGCGGAGCACAGGCTCCGGATGCGCAGGCTCAGCGGCCATGGCTCATGGGCCTAGCCACTCCGCGGCATGTGGGATCTTCCCAGACCGGGGCACGAACCCGTGTCCCCTGCATCGGCAGGCAGACTCTCAACCATTGTGCCACCAGGGAAGCCCAATACTTTTTTTTTTTAATACACTGAAGAAAGCCAACTAGCTGATCAGTGAGCTTATTTAATGACCACTGGAAATAAAATGCAACTAGGGATCAAAAGAAGATAGATCATACATTTTTAGGTGATATCTTTCTCAAGGAAGATTTTAAGCCACTCTCAACTCCCATGGGAACCACCAAGACTTTTTGAAAGGATAAGATTCAGTAGGAGTCAAACTTCAGGATATTTTAACACAGTTTTCAGGCTAGATCAAGATGACACCCTTGACAATATCAAGATGATACCTCTGGGAATAGTCAAAGAATTCCGTTCTAGGTTGCCAGAAGTCCTTGCTATGGCTTTTTTTTTTTTAATTTATTTTTGGTTGTGTTGGGTCTTCGTTGCTGCACGCGGGTGTTCTCCAGTTGCGGCGAGCGGGGTCTACTCTTTGTTGTGGTGCGTGGGCTTCTCATCGCGGTGGTTTCTCTTGTTGCAGAGCACAGGCTCTAGGCGCCTGGGCTTCAGTAGTTGCGGCATGCAGGCACAGTAGCTGTGGCACACGGGCTTAGTTGCTCCGCGGCATGTGGGATCTTCCCAGACCAGGGCTCGAACCCATGTCCCCTGCATTGGCAGGCAGATTCTTAACTACTGAGCCACCAGGGAAGTCCTCTGTCTTGTTTAATTCTGCTGCTCTGTTAGGGATACACACAGTTAGAGCCCTGGTTTGTATTTGATGCTGAGATTTTTCAAGTCGTGGAACACATCAGACAAAGAGCAGAAAAAAGCTGGGGGTCCCAGGAACACGATCAGCAGTCAAGGTCAGAAGCCCACCCCTGTGTAATCTTGGGCAGACACTTAAGCACTCCATGCCTCTGTTTTCTCATCTGTAGAATGGGGATAATGATAGGGTTGTCGCAGAGGATTCAATGAGTGAAGCAATTAGAATAATGCTTGGCACCAAGGAAGTGCTTGGTGCATGTGCACTGGAAATGGTTCTGTTAGTGTTGTTCCCTAAGGGCAGGCAAAAAAGGAACCAGGGAGGCCAGAAATGATCATAGAATGCTCCAGGAGGACAGGACCAGCCAAACCAGGGTTGGCAAGGGGCTGCCTCCCTCCCCGTCCTATAAGTAAATCCTTTCTGCAACATACCTGCTAAGTGGTCATCCATCCTGTGAGAATTTTGTGTGAACCTATAGTCAGGGAAGGTGAGAGTTTAGAGGAGGTGTAATTGCAGTCCAGAAAGAGCAGGACGGGACAGATGGAAAGCACAGCGCTGTGGACCAAACACAGGACACGAGAACTAGGGGATGGCCTTCGGTGACGTCCTCTGAAGCTTGAAACGTATAGATTTGGGCAAACAGGAAAACAAAGTAGTACCTCATTCAGAAGGGACTGCCTGAAAAGAGATTACAGAAAATTTAAAAGTCATTAATGAGAAACAAAGCGATACTGGATTATTCAGAATCTTGGGGATTTTTGACGTGCACATCTAAAATCCAGAGGAAAGTTCAACTATTGCCTTAATGCTTCGGTCATAGACAAAACAATGTAAACCAAACCAAACACACAGAAACGGCTTGTTTGAGTCAACAAAGTGCCACGTGACCCAGGACAGCTCTTCCAATCCAACAAATCTTTGCCGTGCTGTGTAAAAGGTCAGTGTGCTGGTTTCTCCATGACACACAGCAACTGATAGCACACAGCACTCTGGAGGAGTTCCGCCCAGGGGGCAGAATTAAGACAAACGCCAGCCTAAGATGAAAAGGAGAGCCTGGCAGAGCACGTCTGACCCGGAGTGTCAGGCGTAGGATATGGGCGCAGGGTGGGGTTCTTGGGGAAACCCAGAACAGCAGTCGCAGAAGCGGAAGCACATCTGGCTTCACTGGAGCTGTGGGTGTTACAGGAGTAGTGGAAAATAAGGCTGGAAAGATGGGTTGGAAATAAGTGTTTGGGGCACCAGGAAGAAGGAGCATGTTCTGAGCACCTTGAGGGTGAAGGTTGATTTGGGGCTGGAGGAGGCAAGAGAGCGGTGCGGCTCCCTGGGGGAAAGGGAAGAGGACTAGTGGTCTGGAGGAGCTGTGACGGTTCACTGTGTATTTCAGGCTTCTGGGCCAGGGCGAGGAGGGCTGTTTGGGGTCAAGATCTGAGGTTTGAGGGGGCTCTGATACTGGGTGACGGCCCTCCTCTCCGGCAGATTGAGGCCTGGGAGCGAGAGCAGCTGAGCCAGCCTGTCTGTTTTGACTCTTGCTGTATCGACCAGTCCCCCTTCCAGCTGGTGGAGCAGACGTCGCTGCACAAGGCGAGTCCTTGCCCGATGCCCACCGCCCGCCGAGCAGGGCTGCTGGGAGGGCCGGGAGGTGCGGGGCCTCTGCGTACTGACCTGCCGCCCTTTCCTCGCAGACTCACACGCTCTTCTCCCTGCTCGGCCTCCACCTTGCGTATGTGACCAGCATGGGGAAGCTCACGGGGGTGCTGGCCTTGGAGGAGGTAAGAGCGATTGTCCCATTTGAGCAGTGAGGAAGAGTGGGGCACAGGATACGGGGGTGGGGGGCAGGGGTGGCCTTAACATCCGGGAAGTTCCTCCAGATTCCCCTCCTGTTTTTCATGCAGAGACTGGAGGGGGCGGAAGTGCAGCCCTGTGCCCTTCTAAGGACGGCATGGGCTTGGGATGGGGGTTCAGGGCCCGAGTCATGGTTTCATAGGGGTGCGCTGTGGTGGTGCATGGAAGGGGGAGGAGATGGGAAGTGGCTGAAGAAGGCCTGAGGGTTGCTAGGAAGGGGCCGAAGGAGGTCCTGTGTCAGGGGTCTTGAGATTCACTGCTCTGTAGGTGGGGCTTTTCGTCCATCATGCCCCTTTTTTCCTTTTTCTGTCTTCTCCTTTTGATCCCTCCTCGCCATGCATCTTGCTTTCCCATGCTTTTTCCTTTTATCGTCTGCTCCTCTCTCATGTCTGTTTCTCTCACTGCCCCTTTCTTCTTTTCCTCCCCATGTTGTACCCTCTCTCCCCTTCCCTCTGCCCCGCAGCTGCAGAAGGCCATTGAGGGGCACACCAAGTCTGGGGTGCAGCTCCGCCCTCCCCTTGCCAGCTTCCGGAGTGCAACTTCGACTCGAAAGACTCCTGGGGGCCCACTCCCTGCTGCAGAGGCCTGGAGCCTGCCTCAGGATGGAAGTGGGGCCACTGGGGCAGGGGATGTGGCCCCTGCCTCCCCAGAGACCTCTGTGCCATCCGCCTCCCCAGAGGCCCCTCTCTCCTGGGCTCCGGCCAAGGCAGAGAGTGAGCTGGAGGAACTGGAGCTGGCGGGGGCTCCGGGGCCGGAGGGGGAGCTGGCCGACATCCTGCAGGGCCCCAGTCTGCGATCCACCGATGATGAGGATGAAGATGAAATGGTCCTCTGAGCGCCTCCCAGACCGCCGCATAAAGACCATCCAGAGAGCCAGGCTAGAGGGTGGACCTGTGTGGAAGAGGGTATTTCCTGAAGCCGGAGAGATCGCACCGATATCCGGCCTCTGCTAGGAATTTTAAAATGTCATCCTGATCGTGTTGGAGAAGGAGCCAGAATCTGGGCAGGAGTAGCCTTGGTCAATCATTTGGGCGTGTCCCCCCGTCCCCAGACAGGCGGTGGTTGTAACCCCTGCGAAGGGCCCCTGGTAGTCCACGGGCTTCTTGAGTTTGCCTGTGTGCGGGTGGGGAATGCCTGCCTCTGCCTGGCCCCCCTCACTCCCCCACACTCCCCAGTGTTCTTGTCCCAGTGTCTTCCTGGCCTTGCCCATCCCCTGTCAGTTTCCCCGGGGGCGGGCGGGGTTAAGGCAGGCCCAGGATGACTGGTCCTGCCAGTGCCATGTGGGAGGAGGAGACGGGGTCACCTCATGGCCTCATGGACTGATGACACCAGAGTGTACCTGCGAACTGTCCACAGCCCCTTCTCTCAGAGCCCCCCACCCCGTCCTCCACTTGCCCACAGCCATTCCCTGAAATTTGCCTCCAGACTCCATCCTGGCTCCCACTATGCCATTACTAGGGCGGGGAAAGGCCAATCCCACTTGCCCCTCCTTTGTCCTCCATTTAAGCAGTGAGGCATGGATAAAGAGCCTGTGGGGAACAGCCTGGAAGAGGAAAGGTCGCAGGAAGGCTCTGTGTGAAAGGGGCAGTACCCAACAGTCCTGCGGCCAATGGATTTACTTAACTCCCTCTGGCAGAAATGCCTCCCATCTCACATCACAGCTTCCAGTTTCCAGGCCACTGCCTCTCCGCTGTAGTCCTTGATCTGTCCTGCCCAAGGGTCAGCTCTGCCCTTGAGGTGCTCTAGCTGGGGCTTCTCCTTCCAAGAGTGGGAGCTCAGGGCAGCTGGGCCACTGGTTCACCCAGAGACTATACCTTCTTAGGGACTGGTTCTTTGTGTTTCTCTTCTAGGGGTTCAGCGTCAAGACGGCAGACCTTTTTGAGGCTTCCCACACCTGGGAAGTCAGATCCTTATCGTCCCCAAACCAGCGACAGGGAGACTGCCATCACCCTGCCTTTTCTATAAGCGGTCCCAGGTGCTCTGAGCGGCCAGAGACCCTTGCTCCCACCCCCAGGGCTTTTGTCCATCCCTTCTTTTATGGCTCGTTTAGTTCTGCAGTTGTGCCCCCTCCCCAGCATTCTCCTCCTTCCCCACCCTGTGCCCGGCCTCCATCATCCCCCAAATAAGACACTCATAGCCGAAGGTGCCACCACGTCGTTTAGTGCCATTGAACACAGCCCGGAGCCCTCTCCAGCGATACAGCCCTTCCGCCTCCCCAGGCCAAGAGAGAGAGGCTGTAGCCTGGGGAGGGGGGCTGGCAGTGGGCCTTCGAGCCCAAGCCCATGTGTATATAATCTATAATATTTATATATATATTTATATAGAATTCTCTCTGTAATATATGTCATAGAATCTCTCTTGGGCTTGGGGTGGAAATGTCACATTAAGAAAACATGCTAAGACTGGCCATAAAAATGGATATTCCCTAGACCTGGAAGACGGAGTATGGGATGTACAGGTGGGGGTGAGAAGAGGTAATAAACTCATTCACCAAGATTCCCTCCTTGACACAAGGATAAGAAGGAAGGTGTGGGTGGGGGGGGGCGGGGCGGGGGCAGGGGGAGGGATGGAAGAATTGGATTTTCCTTTAATAAAGTGAACTCAAAATGAAAGGGCACCCCCCCCCAACACCAGAAGAAAATCATTTAGCAAGAGAAGTTTCATTCACCATGATATGAAAACAGCCCCGTTCTGGGACTGCTGTAAAACGTGCGGCACAGCCTTTAACCCCAAGGGAAAAGCAACCCTCCCCCATCCCCCAACAGCCTCTTCCTGCACATGCCCCTCCCCTCCCCCTAAAATAGGCTATAAGCAAACCCCATGCACCCTGGCCCCCCCCCAGCACCAGAGAGGCAGTTCCTCCCTCCAGAAGAGTCCTGAGAGGGTCTCAGGCCAGCTCCTCAGGTTTTCTCCCTCTTCAGAGTGGAGACGCCTCCCCCCGCCACCCCGCCCGACCTCTGGGCAGCAGCGATGCCAGCACCCAGGGATGCTGGGCCACGCTCACGCTCACGTCCGAACTCTGCTAGAACCCTTGAGTTTTAGTCGTCTTTTGGCAGGGACCAGCAGGGACCGTTTGGCTTCCTCAGTGAAGGTGGGAGGAAAGAACACTGCTTTAGATGACCTTTCCTAACTCCACAGAGCCCTGAGCGAAAACGGAACCGTGCTGCGTGAACCCGCTCCCTGGACTGGATGTCCGCTGTGGTCCGGGGGCGGAATATGGGACACGAGGGGGGTGAGATTAAGAGAAAAGGATGATGCCTTAGAGAGGGCAATTTGCACAAGATAAGAAAACGGGGACCCCGTGAGAGGAGGGAACTGTGACATGCAAAACCCCAAGGACCTGCAGCAGGAGTGCAGGGCGAGGCCAGCAGCAAGGGCCTGAGTGAGGCCACGTGAGCACGCACAACCCTTTAACAGTTTTAGATGAGGTGACTTCAGCTACCTGTGCTCGCCATGCCTAGTCCTGTTTCCTCCAAGAACCAACTTCAGGTAGCCATCCTCCCCCTCCCCAGAAGATGTGGACCTGGCCTCGGTTGCGTTTCAGGGGCACAAGTGTATGACACTGTGGGCTTGACGGAGGCAGGGTCACAGATGGACAGAAGCACCCCAACTCTCAACCTCCTCATTCTGGGACACCGCTGCAGCAGGGGAGGGGCAGTGTGCTGCCGTCTCTTCACTCTACCCTTCGACCCTGTCCTCTGCCCTCAGGACGTCTTACAGGAGTGCTGGGGCTCCAGGGCTGTGCAGAAGTCCCCACCAGAATGGAGAGTGGGTGCAGAGGGCAAGCAGTTTCAGGGGCTTATGCCTCATTGTAAAACATCCTGGAAGGAAGAATACCCAGATCCTCCTCTCCTTCTCCTCAGGAGGGCGGGGGGTGGGGGGACACCTGTGAGGCCCTCCTGGGAGTCGGTGAAGAGGGGCCAAGGGAGCCCAGAGCCCACGCTCCTCCTTGGCAGACACCCTGCCCCGGCTGGGGGCCTGACAGCACCGGACCCCTCCCTCCACCCTACTCACCCCTGAGTCCCCAAGAAGTTATAAAAATGTAGAAAAGGCAGAGAGAAAAGTGTAAACAGCTCCAGAGAATTAGGGGTAGATGGAGGGAGACACAGCCTCATGCTTCCCCGTCTAGCCAAGACACCTGCATCCTGTGTCACCCCCCTCGCCCCCCCACCGCCTCGGGGCCCCGGGGTTCCCAGAGCAGGAGACAGAAGAAGGCAGAAAAGGGAAGCAAGAGCTGGAGTCGCCAGCCCTGGTGGGGTCCTTTCCCATATCCTTAGGGTCCTCCTTCCAGCCACAGGATAGTCAAGATCCCAGAACAAGTGGCCATGTTTGTCCTCGGTCTCACCAGTGACCGCCTGGTCTCTGGACAGGCCTTGTGCCCCTGTGCATCCCGGCGGCCACGTCCACCTCCTCCGTGACTCCTGATCTCAGAAGCCAAGTTACCTCTGAGGGCAGAGCCACCTCACTCTGAGGAGACGGGGTCTGTACGTTGCTTCCCCTGTGCCCATCGAACCATGTCCCACAGCCCCTGAGGTCTGTTCCTCATAGGAGGGATGAGCTTGGGCCACAGCCAGAGAAAACAGAGTTGGGAAAAGCAAGAGTGACGTGGACAAAGGAGGCCTTCAGGCAGCTACAGTCAAGGCTCCTGGAAGACGAGATCAGGGAGCAAAGAACTGAGATCCAGGGGCCGGCCACGGGCCGCTCTGCGCTCCTGTGCTCAGGACACACGCCGGAGCGCCACCACCACAGACCCAGAAGCCCGCAGCCAAGCGAAGTTCATGGCCATCTGCTTGCCTGGGCCTCAGTTCCTGGACCTGTGGTCTCTACAGTGCAAGCCTGGATAAAATCCCACCCCGGCCCTCCGTTTTGCTGGACAGGACTCCTGGGCTCGTGAGAGTCTTCTGCCCAGGTTTCGGCCGTACTGCTGGGGGAAGGGAGGGTGTGGTTGCAGCCGTGCCCCTCAGGTGGGAGTGGAAGGTGGGGCATTCGGTGGGAGGAAGCTAGTTGTTGGCCTCTCCCTCCTCCTCATCGAAGGACTGCACGCCTGAGGATGTGACGTCAGACACCTTCCGACTGAGAGCGGTGGGCATCTCGGGGTCTTCTCGTGGGGAAAGCGACTCCAGGTCCCGACATCCCGCATCCTCTTCCTCCTCGGGCGCCAATGGCCTCTTCTCCTCCTCGGCGGGGCCCCTGGCCAGGTCCACCCCGCCCACCCCTGGAGCCCAGTCAGTGTCTCCCCCCAGCAAGGCTGGAGGCTCCTGAGCAGCGTATCCCGAAGCAGGTTGGGAAGGTCCCATTTCGTGCAAGCTAGGCTGTGAGTCATCAAATGCGGGGCCGAGATAGGATCCTGTGGCCGGAGAGGCAATGAGGGACTGGTCGCTTGCTTCCCAGGCGTCCGATGACCCCAGACAGTACATGCCCTGGGACACGTAGGAGTGAGGCCATCCATCCATCGGGGCTTGAGCAAGGGCATCTGTAAGGAGAATCACGGCGGTTGGTGGGGTCACAAATATCAAAGGCAGTAACAACAGCACAGAGAATTGAGGGTGAGGTGCGGGGCGGTGGGTGAGGGGGGGAGTAGGAAAGCCTATATGAACAGGAAGTCTTAGAACAGAGGTGCATGGAGGTAGCCTGGATAGTTGAGGAGGCCTCTTAGGCCTCTGGGGTCGGATTCTGGAACCATCCCTCACCCTGACTCTCCATCAATTCCTGGTAGTTGTCACTGTAATTGCAGCCCAATGGCTCCTGGGCGGAGTTGACACTCATGTCCTCACCATCCATGGAGGACCAGGCCATGAGCGTGGCCTCGGAGATAGCAAACTGTTCCATGACGCCTGGGAGAAGAAACGTAGTTAGCACGAGATACCTCGGGGAAGCCTGAGACACATGCATGGGGCAGGGGGACGTCAGTGCAGCGCTGTTCAATAGAGATATAATGCAAGCTACTTATGCAATTTTAAATTTTCTAGTAGCCGTATTAAAAAAAAATGAAAAGACATAGGTGAAATTAATTTTAATAATACATCTTATTTAACCTAATCTATATAAAACATTATCATTTCAATGTAGAATCCATATAAAACTATTGAGGTACTTTACATTCTTTTATTCATACGAAATCTTTGAAATCCAGTCGATATTTTACACTTACAGCACATCTCCATTCGGACTAGCCACATTTCAAGTTCTCAATGGCCACATGTGGCCAGTGGCTACTGTATTGGACAGCACAGCCTTGGTATATGCCCCGAAACAAGGCAAAATCGTGGGGGACTTCCCAGAAGGTCAGATTTAGGATTCCTAGGGGAAAGAGTTGGGGGGGTCTTCTGGTGAGATATCCTAAGGGATTGAAATTGGGGATTTCCAGAAGTTTAGCTTTGGAATTTTTTTAGGAATGGTAGCCAGTGCTAGGTAGTCAAGGCCAGAGGAGTCTAAATGGGAGGGATTGTAGGTCCACAGTGGTATCAAGTTCAAGGTCTGGGAAGGACAAGGGAGGAAGGATAGAATAATGAAGATGGGTAGACTTGGGGTTCCCGTGTTGGTCAAAGCCATGAGTAAGTTGAAGCTTACATTGCTAGCTGCCCTACACTACCCACTACATGTTTGTCTCCCCTCCCCACTGATATTTCTTCCACCACCCACACCACCAACCAAAGAACCCTCTTGTCTATTCCAGATCTATCATTTTTCCTAGGTATCTTATCGAGATCTGCCACTAGGGCTCGGGCAGGGTTGTAGGTACACCGTATGCCTGCCTCGTACCTATACTGAATTTTAAAAGCTCTTCTGTACACACCCTCTCCTCACCCAGGTCCCTTGATCTGGTGGTTGTCACGAGTAATGTGACCTGTAATTGCATTCATGACTGCAGTGTGCTGATGGGCAAAGGCGAGAAGAGAACCCCAAGGCTTTTCTTTCATTTTCATCATAAAACATGAGTAGAAGCACAGACTTTTGAAGCCTAAGATACCTGCCTTTTTTTTTTTCCTCCTGTACTGAGGGAACCCAGGGTTTGGACAGTCCCACCATGTAGGAGAGAAGGCATCAGGTGGACCCACAATCCCATGTTAACTCCCCTCAACTTCCGAGACGATAATAAAAATAAGTTTGAGGGTACTTAGAATAAACAAGTCAGAGTCCTTGAAATTAGAGCTAGTTGGGAAATTAAGTCTGATGGTATCACATGAACAGAGCCAATCCTGCCATAGGGGATCAGGCTGAAGGGTCGGTCTCTGGCCATCCTGAACATGTGTCTCTTGAGGGGCTGGGGAACAAGTACCTGCTAGGAAACGTGCCTCCTTCTCGCCATCGCTGAGGTCGGAGTAGGCGTCTGTATCCCTGCGCACGGCCTCGTGGCTGTGTTGCGGCTGAATGGCTGGTGCCTTCCCCCAGCCCTGCCACTCAATCATGTGAGCCACCCGGCCCTGCCCCATGGCTGTGGGCTTTGTCACATGGTCCTTCATGCTTCGCGAAATCCCTGAGGGGCCAGACATTCCCCAGGTGCTCCAGAACATCACACAATACCCGCACCAGATCTGTCCCGCCCCCGCCCCCGCCATCACCCCCACCCTAGTCCCCGTGGGACTCCATCCCATGAAGGGGGCAGGTATGCCCTAAGACTCTGTCTATGAGGGGCCGCCTGGAGGATGGGAGAGGCTTGACAGAAAGGGCAAATAGGTCCGGGGTCTGGGGATGAGGGTCTTCTTCAGGCCTGAAGGGGCAGGGACACTGAAAGCATGAGCCCCTAGGGAGTCTCCTGTCTGCACGCATCCCCAGGTCGGAGTCTCACCTGAGAACGATGACTTGGCCAGGGCCCCAATGCCATAGGCGTTAGAGTTTCGCTTAAGCTTCGGAAGGATGGAAGTGGTGTCCTCCATGGAGAGCTGGGATAGGGAATGTGGGAGGAGGGGCAGAGGAATAAGAGGCTATGAGGTGCTTTATACGTGGAGGACAGTCCACGGTTTCCAGGAGTAAGGATATGAGCCAGGGCGGGCGATCAGGCTACCATTATACCCGGGGGGGTCCCTAGGAGGCCTATCCCCCAACCACCCTTGAGAGTTTGGGGGTGGCTAAAGAATGTGAGGGCTCCCAGTGCCCGCTGGAGGAAGGGGGCGCTGTGTGCTACGGCAGCAGGTGGGAGAGGCCAAGGAAGAGGAGGTAGGGTGGGTTGCAGAGGCCTGGGGGGAGCTGCACTCACATTGATGCCATCCCAGGAGAAGTCAGTCCGGGTTTGCTGTGAGGAAAGAGGAGAGGGAGTGGGTACCCGGGGCACTTCCTCAGAGGGCCTTCCAGAAGAGCGTGAGGTAGAGAGGGCTTTCCTGAGATTAACACAGGGAACTGGGATCTCCGCGTGGAGCGTTTGGCTTGTGTTTGAGGAAAGGAGGAGAAATGTTCTGTGAGAGCGTCAGTCTGAAGGTGTGTCTGGGAGGTTGTCCTGGAATTTAGGAAGGTGGCCGAAGGACTAGGCTTATGCATGGTGGTTCTGGGGGTGTTTTCGAGGTCCTCTGGGAGGGGGGCTGAGCACGGAGGGCCTCACCTCAGTGGATGGCCGGTGGAGGCTGCTCCCGTGCAGCGAGCTGGTGCTGTCCATGTTGATTTGGTCCACATCCTTCAGGCCCTTCCAGTCCACGGCTATCACTTCATTTCCTGAGATGGACAGATGGTTAGCTGCTTCCCTTTCACCTCCCTATGCCCAACCCGAAGGCCCGTCCTCGTCCTTTTCCTTCAGAACGCTGAGGCCACAGATGGGGGCCAGGCCCTCCAGACCCCTCCCTGCCCTCCCACTCCCACTCCCTCTTCTGATTGCCTATTTTCTTTTACATCCCCACTCGCCCCAAATTTTTGTTAGGAGAGGTAATAATGCTGAGCTCAGTCAAGAACAGCACACTCGGAAAAAGTGTTCTATGGCCTCATTTGTTGTTGTTTAAATGGAAGGGTCAGTGGCTGGGTTTTAGACGGAAAACAGGTCTCCATTCTATCCTGAGGAATCTCTGAGGGTTTCAGTATGGGAGTGCATGGGAGCTGTGCTTTTCCTCTATTATGTTCCTACAAATAAGGGCAGAACTTTTCCAGGGGCAAGCTTCCCTAAGTGTTGGCCTTATTATTTGTGAGGTGCAAGGATTGCATCTTCCCTAGTGGATCCCCCAGAGGAGTTGGTGGATTCGTCTGACAGGAAGGAGGTTTGGTGGGGATAGAGGCAAGAGCTGGGTGTGTACACCTAGAAGCAATGAAAGCAGAGAAAGCAAAGAGTGAGATGGAATCATTTTACCTGACTCTTGGGAGACAAGTGATGGATTAAAGAGGAGAGAAGGGGGACAGCAGGAGGAGAGCAGGGGACTTTTTAAAATAGGAACTAAAAGAATAGGAATTCGAGTCAGAGAGAAGACAAAAGACAATGGGAGAGGGTGGACAGGGTTTGAGGGCTGACTGGCAAACTGGAGGACCTAGGAAGATGGTAATTCTGCAGCCGAGGCCACAGCTCCTCATAAAGGGGGACTGCTGCCGTGAGGGGTGGGTATGCCAACTGGAAGCCTTGGGGAAGAACCACCTGACCTTATAGATCTTTTCTACACATAAAGTTTTTTGATTCTGAATTTAGGATTAGGCGTCCACTCTTGAGGAGGGGTGAATTGAATGGGGTCTTGGGCACCAGGAGGCATTCGGCAGGCAACAGCATAGCTGCTGCAAGAGGAAGGGGTTGTGCTGGACAGGTCTGAGAGAGGTAAGGCCCCTCCGAAGTGGGCACACTCTCCCTTGGGGCTACAGGGGAATGGTGAGATGGGTCAGACCAGTGGCTGGAAGGGAAGAGGAAAGATGGACATCTGGGCGGATAGAGCAGGAATGGGCAGGCAGAGGACAACCTCTGAGGGGAAGGGAGATGGCGAGGGCAGAGTGGGAGAGAGGGGTGAGGGGAGGTGGCCTTTGTAGAAGAGGGAGAGCTGAGTCAGAGCCATGGGGGACAGGGAGGGGGAGGGAAAGAACCCAGAGAAGAGGTGAAAGCAGAGGAGGAAGTGGGGGTATCCATGGAAATAAATCGGGTCTCAGAGAAATCAGGCTTCCGGAGAGTGAGTTTGTTTGTGATAATAATACCAATTATTCTCTCAGCCTGAGGTCACTGGGGCATGTAGGCGGGAGAAATTGGGAGTCGGAATGGGAAAAATTGGGGGTTTTGGGAGAGGGTTGAATCAATCTGCTGAGCTGTGAGAGCGGAGTGGGTGTACGGGGTGCAGGAGAAGGCACTGGGTAGCAAGGCAAATGCTGAGGGGAGAAGAATTCCGAGGCGCTTCTCTTCCTTCCCCCGGTCAAAGGTAAATAAAGAGCTGGCCCCGCCCCGCCAGCCCCCGCCGACAGGTGCAGCCAGGTCCCCGGGTTCCCTCGCTCGGCCAGCCCCACCCTCCTGGGAGCGGGCTCCCGACCCCTCTCCGGCCCTCGAACCGCCGGCCTCCCCCCGGCGTCCCCGGCTCTTCCACCCCAACCCAGCCCGGACCCATTGCCTCCGGCCGTGGAACCCCTTCCCCTCCCCGAGGCACCAGGCTCACCCCGCCCCCGCCCCGGAGGGAAAATGCACGTGAACAAAGCAAATCGGGGGAGGCAGAAACGACCGAAAAAGGCAACGGAGAGGGAAAGAGATGGGGGCAAAACACCCAAGCCAGATGGAGGCGGAGCGGGGGCGGGGGCGTGCGAAAGGGACTCGGGGCTGAGACTGAGACTGGGGGTCCTTAAAACGGGGGCTGCTTCAGAAATGGAGGGGGGGCGAGGAGGCGCTGGGGAAGGCAAAGTCGAGGCCGATGGCCTGGAGATGGAGGGTGTGGGAACGGGAGAGTCGGGGAGGGCGACGGAGGAGAGAGAAGGTTGGCGGGGAGATGATGGAGAGGGACCGCGCCTGGGCAAGGGCAATGGAAGGAAGCCGGAGGGAGACGGAGAGAACTGAGTCCAGAGGGATGCGAGGCCCGGAGGCGCGAGGGGAGAACGGGGAGGAGAGAGGAAGGCAGGGACTGCGAGGGCACAGAGGGAAAGTGAGGGAGCGCGGCGGGGCCGAGCGGTGCGGAGAGAGGGACCCGGAGGGGCGCGGGGATTGGTGGGGGAGGGGCCGGAGGACCGGACCCCGCCGAGTCCTGCCGCCGCCCGCGCCCGCGCCGCCGCGGTACCCACCCACGGTCCGGGAGCCGATGCAGCCCATGGCTCCGGGCCTCCAGGCCGGGCCCTCACCGACGCGGGGCGGGCGCCGGGGGGAGCACCGGGAGCCGCGCCGCCGCCCCAGCCGCTCTGCAGCGCCGCGGCTGTCTCCGCTCGGCTCCGCTCCCCCCTCCCCTCTCCATCCCTCCCCACGGCAGCCTCCGTCGTCGCCGCCGCCGCCGCCGCCGCCGCCTGGCTCCCCCGCCCCGGCTCGGCTCGCGGCGGCGTGGAGGGGGCGGCCCGGGGATTGGTTGCGCCGGCGCCTCCCCGCCCTGCCCCTGACCCCGCCGCGGCGCTCCCTCGGGGAGCCGGGCTGTCTGGGGGCCTTGACGCCGCTTGCCTCTCTCGCCCTTCCCCAGAGACGCTCGGGGGCTGCTCGCCGGGTCCCCGCTGGGCTCGCGCCCGGGGGCTGCTGGAGACCCGGAGGATGCCCGCCTTGGGTCTCAGGAGCCGGGTAAAGAAACCCGGGCCCACCCTTCGGATCTGGGGGATTGATTTTGAGGCTCGGGGTTGGGGATGTCTAGAGAGAAAGTGGGGCAGGAGTGAGAATAAAGCCTGGATGAAGGGCCTTCGCCGCTAAATTCCGCAAACACTTGTTTTCTTCCTGGGGCTGCATCTGGGACCCAAACGGGAGCGTGATTGGATGCAGCTCCGGTTGCTCTGCGTTTCCTGTGCGCTGTTTTATCCACCCAAACAGATCGCGAAGTCTTCGCAAGTGGATCGTGTTTTAGACTTGCCGGTGCTCGGCGCTCGCGGGAAAATCGGGCATGGGTGTGGGGATGGTGCAGATAATCTTACTCCAGTTCTGATCGGGGATGGGGATAGAAGATAATTCGATCCCATCTCGAGGGAAATAAAAATGTCAGGGCCCGAGGCTGGCTAGGAGACAGTTTTATATCCAGTGTAACTTTTCTGAGCCTTGGCCTTCTCTGACAAATGAGCGCAAGGATGTCAGAGGCGGGCAAGAGCGGGGTGGATTGCCCTCAGGCTAGTGGGGTCGGATGGGGTAGGTACCAAGGGCCTCTTGGGTAAGAGACGGAGAGACATCTAAGTGGCAAGGGTTAGGTGGGCACTACAGTTACAGCAGGCAAGAAGTGGAATCCAGAAAAGTCGCATGAGAAAAGGAGACCCTTTTATCTAAGCAGTACCCCAAAGTTCGAGGGAGCCTACCTGGTGAGCACCAATGTCAGAAGCAAATGCTAATCTAGGATCTGTTTGCTGCCCACCTGATCTTATGTCCCTCCTGAGGTTGGACAGGGAGTAGTAGGGCAGTGGGCCAGGGGGCCCTGGTGAGGACCTGGAACAGGGAGAGAGACCAAGTCTTAACGGATGCAATTTTTTGATCTTTAGATTATGAATAGGAAGCTAAACTTTAGGGTGGTAACCACTGCCTTCTGTGGAATCCCAGATGAGAGATGTAGGGGAAGATACTAATAATTTAATTGCAGATCTAGGAGATAGGATGATGGAAAGGGAACTAATCTTTGGTCTCTGTGCATGAAGAAACAAACCAAGTCTACATCTATAGAACCATGAGAGAGAAGAGAGAAAGGTCAGTGGCGGGTGGGCTTAGATTTTAATTGTCCAGTACACTTTGTGGCAGGATCTGCTCTCTTATTTTGACAGTGGAGGGAATTAGAAAGTATTTTCCACCCCCCAGATCAGCTTTTGTTGGTTATACAAAAGAGGTACTAAGTGGTTTCTGCCCTCCTGGAATATAGCGTCTAGCTGCAAAAGAAAGAAAATGGAAAGATGGTTAAAAAAAAAAAAAGATAAAAGGAAGAAACAGCCTCCATTACTATAGTAATGCTCCCAAACCCCTACTGTGTGAGCAGAGAAGGCGCTGACTCTCCAGGTCAGCAGTAATGGACCAGGTGGCCAGCTCTGCTCATGCCTTCTCACCTGAAACTGCTCTTCCCTTGGGGTGCTTTCTTTCTTTCTTTTTTTTTGCGGTACGCGGGCCTCTCACTGTTGTGGCCTCTCCCGTTGCGGCCGGACGCGCAGGCTCAGCGGCCACGGCTCACGGGCCCAGCCGCTCTGCGGCATGTGGGATCTTCCCGGACCGGGGCACGAACCCGTGTCCCCTGCATCGGCAGGCGGACTCTCAACTACTGCGCCACCAGGGAAGCCCTTGGGGTGCTTTCTGATTCCACTATTCTCAGTATTAATCTGGTCCAAACATGGATACAAACCCTTCCTTGGGTCCCCTTAGCACAGCTGTATAAGGCTGGATTTATCCAAATGGTTTAAATCAAGTCAACACAAGGGATCCCAGGTCTAGAAGACTCAGTCCCATCCCATATTCTGTCTTAAAGGTATTTCCAGCATCAGAGCAAAGGAGACTATCATAGGCACAACACTGGCATGCTTCCTTCCTGCTTCTTGAATCTTCTTACTTCTCACCATTTAGAGACATTCTTCCAGTCTCTTTGCTGTGTTCTGAGCCAAGGTCAAAGATTCTAGTTCTGTTATGAACAGGAACAACCTTTCTGGAGGACAGTACAGATCAAAAAATCTTCAAAACATGCATTACTATTGTTACTAAATTGTGACACAGCAATTCCATTTATAGAAATAGTCTAAGAAAATAAAAATAGAATGTGGACGAAGATGAAATCTACAGCATCCATCAGAGTACAATTTCATAATAGTTATAAAGATTGTACACAGCCCACATGTTCAAACCTGGGGCTTAATTAAATAAATTATGCTATATGCCTATAATAGAATATTATGCAGCCATTAATACTATCTTATAACTGTATTTGTTGAAAATTATTCATGATACATTGCGATATTATAAAAAAGCAGGCTATAAGAATTACAGTGTATCAATTTTTGTTTAAAAATCACACACACACAAACACACACACATAGATTCTTCTCCTGCCTTTTGTCAGGCTTTCCATCCCAAATAATTTATGGGATTCCTTGAAGAAAGCTTATATTTTACAAATGTCCAGTTCCACTCATCAGTTACAGATTGACTCTCAATGAAATTACAATATTAATCAGTCCATTTCCAAAGTCTAAAAATATAGGACTTTGGCAGAATGCCCCAGCATGACACTGGCATCTTCCTTATTGGCTCTCTTTGGGACACAACACCAAGGTGAAATTATGCTTCCATCCTCTCTGTGGTTGCTGCTTCGTGCTCCTAATCTCCTGTGGACAGGTCTTGGACAGAAGGACAAACCAAGCTGAGAGCCAGTACTGCCTAAAATGGGGACTCTTGTCCCAGGATTCATGGACGGAATCCAGAATCCATAACCTTGGATGGGAAAAAAAATTATGTTCACTAACTTGTAACCGAAATTCCCCATCCACTTATATTAGGCATGTAGGCAGCAAACCATAGTTGTATCAGAGGTATTGTACTGTGTCTTTATCAGCCATGAAAATTGCAGATGTTTCTATTAGACAACAGTTGTGGCAGATTTTTTACAACATTCTTTATGTTCGTCACTACTTTGAAATTATAGTAGTATTGAACCTGCCTCTACGTTTACTTATTTAATGCTTTTATAAAGAAGCAGATATACTACTACACCACAATTTTATAACTATTTTTATATAATCGGTACCCTTTGTAATCTGTATTTTGTTTTATGCATTTAATATTATTCTGAGAGGGAAACCATGGATTTTCCAGATTGCCAAGCGATCCAGGGCACAAAAGAGTTTAAGAACCCCTGGTCTCTAAATACATATTTGGTGGTGATAGTGGTGGTGGAAGTCTCTAAATTCTGCAAGAGCTTAATAGTCTGGTTAATAGCACCAACTTAAAGGACCAAGCAAGATACTCATCATCCCATTTTGAAGACTGGGTCCCCAAGAACAAAGATATGTCCCTTTTTATCTGCAGGACTGAAAGAGACACACCAAAGGCAGGCCTGCCCCCCAAAACTGGAGAGGCAGCTCTAAAACATGACAGCAAAGACCTGTACTATCACAGAAACATCTGTGTATCGTATCTGGGTCTGTATCTCGACGCAACAAGTAGGTGATTCAGGCTGCTTCCAAATTTAGTCAGCTTGTGGGAAGCCCTTAGTGGCTCATGGGAGGCCCTATTTGCTTAAGACACCAGAAGTGGGTGTGCTGATACTAGAGGAGCTCTGTAACAGGGCTGGGGTAGATTGTTTGGCACTGAGTTGCCTGGAATAGCATGGGGTCTGGGTGGAAATCAGAAGAGTCTAAGAAAGGTGATGGAAGTCTGTATTCTTTGAAAAGGGATTAATTTCCTCAATACCCGGTGAACAGGAAGACGAAGAATGGGGCTTGGGGGTTGGGTTGCTGACACATCAAGGAAGACTCAGACTTAAGTCACGGATGGGTCCACGGTGGGAATGTTGGTAGTGTGTAAGTTGTATTTCCACAGAGTAGGAAGTGGCCACAGAAGCTGTGCTGGTGGTCTGTGGAGCTCTCTTTCCCACACCCACCGTCCTCTGGATTTCCAATGTAATTAGTAGATGAGGTTCCTGGCTGTTATGCTGGGGCAGGGGGTTTCCCGAGCAGAACAAGTTTACTGAGGAAGGAAGGACTTCTCAGGGCAGCTAGTTATGCAGAATGACATGTCCCAGCAGAAATTCTCTGGTTTCCAATGAGCCTAAAGGTCTCATTTGATCAATCTCTGTTCTGTTGAACACCAAGGAAGATAAAACCTTTTACACCAGCACACGTTATTGTGCGTTTGACTTTTTAGATGAGGTTTGAAACCTTTGCAAAATATTAGGGATTTAAGGTGAGCTCATTCCAGTGTGGAGTACGAAAAGGAAGCTTAGTAACGTGGGCAGTGGTGGCTCCCCACTCACCCCTGCCCACCTTGGTTCTGTCCCCAGATACACACCTCCATGCATGAGCTAAAGCTTCCATGGGCGGGTCAGCATGACTGAGTACACATTTCGCAGGAAGGATCTTAAGGTTCCCATTCAGCAGAGAAGAATGCTTGAACAAATGTTTCCCTGGTGACTCCAATAGTCTATTCTTTAGATTATCAAGGGAATGCATTTGCCCTGTCTTTTCTTGGAGAAACAGGACTGTGGGAAAGTCTGGAACAGAATCACTTCAGATTTGGGGGTATTATCCAAACATTCTGATGAGAAAAGCCTGGGTTCTGGGCTGATGGGCTCCTACGTCTC